TCTCGACTCCCTCATTCATCTTGCGCCGTCCTCCCCCCCTGCCCGCCCCGCGGCGGGACCTGCGTCCGGTGCCGTGCACCCGAGGGGAGGTGAAGCAGGATGGGGCCCGGCTGGGTGGCACCGTGGGGACCCCTGGGGACCCCGTGCAGCGCTGTCCCCAAGGCAGGAGGGGGGGGCAGGTCCCCTTTGGGGCTTCTCCATCCCATCCCATCCCGGAGGGTGCTCGGATCTGTTTGTCCCTTCCTGCTGTCCCCAGCCCATCAGCCTGTGCTGCTGTGGCAAAGCAGGAGGCAGCCAAGTGACACCTCCAGGATGGGAAGTGGGGGCCAGGGACCCTCCTGGGCACCCCCCGGGGTTTTCCTGGCACTGGGGCCATGCATGAACGGCACTGGGGACAATCCCCAGGGATCCCCAGGCTGTGCCGTGCGGTCAGCAAGTGGATGCTAGGATTAGGGGCAGGGGGGGGCTGGCCCCACCAACACAGGGCTGCCTGCCCCCCCCCCCCCAGGCTCCTGGTGATGATCTTTTTCTGATTTTTTTTCTCCTGAGCACTGGAGACAAGTCCCCAGGAGGCCCCGTGCCTGCCGCCTGCGCCCCTCCGCGCGCTGCTGGGGCTGAGCCCTGCCTCGCCCCCCGCAGCTAAAATTAAAAATTCAATTTGTATTGCTGGTAAATCCTGCAAATCTCTTTTATCTCTAAGCTCTTGTAGCAGGACTATCAGGGGTGTAATCTCCGCGGGGACCCGTCCTGCTGCCCTTTGCAGCTCCCTGTCTTGGGCCATGCTCCCCCTTCCCGTGTGGCTCCCGTGGGATGCTCGGGGGGCAGGTGGGGAGCAGGACCCGGGATGCCTCCAGCAGAGCACCCATGGCACTGCCCAGCCCGGGGACAAGGGGCTGTGCCACCCCCGAGCCCTGTGTGATGGGGACACCGGTGCCAACGTGGTCCCGACAGTGTCCCCAGCCCCGCCTGTGCCCTCGTGTCCCCCCCACCCGCACGCTCTGCCCCCACTCTAGGCCCACGCTGAGAGCACGGTGCCGAATTATGTAGTTAAATATTTAGCTTTTCATCAGCTTTGCAAATTAAGCCCATCGATTACAGCAGCACTTTGGGTCCTCCACTGGCGAGCTCTGCTCCGTGGGCTCGTGGTGCCCGTTCCCAGCCCTTGGCCCCAGGGTGGGGGCTGCAGCCTGGCAGGGGGGCTCGGTGGCTTTGGGCATCCCTCCTGGTGGGGACCAGGGGCTGTGCCGTGGCACCATGCCCAGAGTCTCCTTGCTAGAAGGTGGCCTGCTGCAGGGAGAGAGGCAGAATGGGGCTGGTGCCGCGAAGGGAACTGGTTTTACTGGGCGGCGTTTGAGTTCCAGGCATGGGGTGGCACAGAGGGGGGGAATTCAGGGCGCAGAGCAGTGCTGGTGGCCCCTCAGAGCCTTTCGGCACGGCCGCGTGCCCTGAGCTCCCGAAAGCAGCTTTGCAACGATCCCAGGCTTAAGTCATTACACCGCGGGGCCGGGAGCTAAGTGGCTTTTGGAGCAGACGCGGCGCTTCAGCACTTCCCCGTGGTGGGAACGGAGCCGGCTGCGGCGGGGATGTGGAGGGTGAAATGGGAACGCTGATGGCTGGGAGTGGGGATGGGGGATTTGTCCGGCACCACCACAAGCTTGGGGGCTGTGGCACAGCTGGCAGCAGCCGGGAGGTCCCCGCTGGGGCTGCCACATCCCAGGTGCCTGGAAAGGCTCCATGGGGCGCTTCCAGAGGTGCTGTTGGCTCTCCATCCCGCTGGGACCCCGGTGTCACCTCTACTGAGCCGCTGTGGGGGCAGCGGGGCTGCGTGCCGGCTGTTTGTGCCCCGGGCAGTGCAGCCAGATGCTGGGTGTGCGTGCGAGGGGAGCTGCCCGTGGGCATCACCGGCGATGGGCACGCGTTGGGGCACACTGAGCCCCAGCGCCAGCTGCTCAGCGGTGACACCGGGGGGCGGTGGCAGCCCCCGTGGGGACACAAATCCTGCTCGGGTGGCGGGGAGGTTGAGGAAGGGGTTTGCTGGGGAGGGCGCCGGCACGCAGCGCTTTGCTGCCCAGGTGCGCTTCCTTCCCAGCTGCCCTTGTCCTAATTATTCACTCATCCCTAATTACTCGCTCCTCCCAGCACCCTGCGGCCACCTGGTGCTGTGCCTTAATCCAGCTCTGAGCTTCCCTGACTGCCCCATCGGGGAGCAGGAGGTGGCCCCAGTGGCCATGCCTGTCCCTTCCCTGTGCCCACCGCAGGATGCTCACACCAGCCCCTTCCTCCTGCCCCTTTCTTTCCCACCTAATTTCTTCCTGGGCTGTGGCTGCCGACCCCAAACCTTCCCGTTTGTGAAGGGTTTTGCTTGCTCTTCCACGCGCTGGGGCTCCACGGGGACTGGGGCGCTGAGGGTCCCCTCTCCGCTGGCTTTGCCTCTGCAGCACCGGGATGCTCCAGCTTGGGACAGAGCCCGGCTGCTGCCCCCAGGAATCGGCTCCAGCACAAGGCTGTGGCAGCAGCGGGGGCCCTGGGCCCTGCTCCCCCCCTGGCACCGGTGGCAGCAGCAGCCGGAGGCAGCGGCGCTGCGGCGGGGAGTCCCGGTGCTGGCGGCCGTGCGGGATCCCCAGCAGCTGGGGCATGGTGTGGCAGTATTTCCTCGCTCTGCTCGAGGAGTAATTGCTCAGATGGGGACTTGGGGCAACTCCCATCCCTCTCCCGGCATGGTAATGAGTCAAGAAGACTCAAAGACAAATGGCTCATTAAGAAGCAGTGCTGCATTGCAGGATTTTTCATCCCACCAACCGCTGCATCAGCAGAGGCAGTACCTCTCGCGCGCTCGCTCTCCCCAGCTCTGGGAGAAGGAGCTGTCAGGCAGCCGGTGCCGGTGCCAAAATTAATCATGTGCTTAATAAACTACTCCCATCAAACAACCTGTCCTCGGAGTCCCCTCGTGCGGAGCGGGGCAGATGGGAACAGCGACGCTCGGTGCCCTTCCCCCGGGGACGCCGGGGTCTTGCTGTCCCCAGCTGGGGTCACCCCAGCGGTGCTGGGTCCTGCTCGTGGCCCTGCACGGGGCTGAAACAGCTCCTGCGATTAATGGCATCAGTCAAGGGGAATAATTCAGGCTCTGCTGCCTGCGGCTGGGTTAGGGCTGCACGAAGGCAGCGGGAGCTGGCTCAGGGTGCCCGGCCATGGTGCTCGAGGCTCTGCTGCCCTGGCCCCTCTCAGCAGGCTCGGTGACTCTCGCTTGCACTGCTCACATTCGGAATTTTTCAGCCGGCATTTGTCCTTCATGACTTTTTAAAAAATATCCTCATCCCTTATTTATCCCAGGCTGCCTCTGCTTGGGTTCTGCCCCTTCTTTCTGCTTGGTTTCTTCCCCGGCAGGGCCCGTCTCAGCCCTCTATTTTTGTTCCGCTCTCAGTAACTGCCTTTGATTTCCTGAGCACACCGAGCACGCTGGCTGTGATCTTTGCATCCTGCTCGCTTGGTGTCCCACTTTGCCTTCTCCTGGGGCTCCTTCGGCTGCCTGTCCGAGGCCTGGCAGGGCAGCACGTGGGCTGGGTCCCGTCCCTCTGCGCTAGCACCGCTGGAAGCCCCGCTCTGCGCCCTGCTCGGGGCGAAGCCGCCTTTGTTCTCCCTGAATTCTCTGCTCCTGCCTGAGCTCGGTGCCGCGGCGTTCGGCTGCTCAGGAGCTCCTGACCTACCTTCCCTGCTCGTGGCTGTGCTCCATCCCTGCCTGCTGCATCATAAATATTGCACGGGAGCGCGCTCTCGGAGCGCTGCCGCTGGCACGGCGCTGGGCACGGCACCCGCGGCATCTTCTGCGCAAACGGGGCTGAGGGTGGAGGGCCAGGGCCAGGGGAGAGGGACCCCAGGAGGGGTCGGGATGAGGGGGCAGCACCAGGGATCGCTTTGGGAAGGGGATGATCCCATAGCTGGCTCCTCCAGGGGATCATGGTGCTTCCACTCATCCTCCCCGTGGTTTTGGGGAGGTTCCCCCAGCCCCTGGTGGGCTCCATCCGGCGAGCGCGCAGCCAAACGGGGCTGCCCTCACCCTTCCCTGAAAAGTAATTACTTACAGGAATGACGAACTTCTGACTAATTACACTATCTCTTTCCTGCCTGACACAACTAATGAAATATCCATGAGCTGCTTTCAGCTAATTCAACTTTTAAGAAAATAATTACTCGACGCAGAATTATGTACTAAATTAGGTGATTCCTTTACTAAGCCCCCATTTTTTTTTTCAGGCTGAGTAAATTTTACTAATACAGCCTAATAAAATAACAGAGTAATTAGTAATAAAATAAAATGTTTGCTTTCTACAATCCTTCTCGCTTACAACTAGTTGGGAAAAAGTAAATAGATTAAAAGCACGGTGGAACCGACCTGGCGGTATCCCGTATTTATTTTCATCCAGCGACTGTAGATCAAATTTGCTCAGCTCCATAAGCGGGAAGACCATATTTTTTTATTTTTTTTTCAGACTCCAGCTCGCACGCGGTGCCGGGAGCTCAAGCTGCGTGTTTGTTCTCTCTTGCTTTCATCACGAGCCATAAAGATCCCCAGCAGGAACCGCGCTGCCAAACTTGTCGCTAATTTGCAAAGCAGAATGGACCGGGCTCGCGCCATCCTCGCTGCGCTCCTCCGCCGGGCGAGCGGCTGTAAAAAATCACTTTGCTCGCGCTGGAAAGCCGAGGTGGCAGGAGGAGCCTTTGTGGAGCATATGGCCGGATCCAGAGCAAATCAAAGTCAACGGCGAGGCAGCCGCTGGGCCGGCTCCGGCGCCCGCTGGCAGGGAATTGCATAAGAGGATGTGGCTGGGGATGGTTTTGGGGCGTAGCCGGGCGAAACACGTGCGGGGCTGCGCTGGCCATGGGACTGCCTCGGTCGGAGGAGGGAAGGAGGCATTGCTCAAAATCCACAGGGATTTGGGTCAGGCTCTTTTTTTGGGGACAACCGCTCTTGCTCTTCCTCCCTGTGCTTCCTCTCCCTGCAGACCCTGGTGCCCCCGGGACACCCTGCGCGGAGGAGCCAGCGGCCGGGCCATGAGGACAGCATCCCCCTGAGCGCCGGGCGGTGAGTGCACAGCCGGGTCCTGCCTCTCTGGAAACCTTGCAAAGCCTCATTTTGCGCTGTAACATCTCACCAGACCCAGGTTTTGCAGCGGGATTTGCAATCCCGTTTGCTCTCCATCGCGTGTCCAGGGGTGCTGGGTGGCACTGGGGTGTTGGGTGGGTGCCGGGGCTGCACCAGGTACTTGCTGCCGAGGCTGAGATCTCCCCAGGTGGTTTAAGGAAGAAAAATCAACTCTACTAAGGGCCCCTGTGGGAAATGAAGCGGGGAGATGGGTTTGGGTGAGCCCTGCAGCACCCTGGGGTTATGAGCCCCAGTCCTCCCCCCCGATCCTGGGGTGGGCAGGAGAGCCGCAGAAGCAAAAGTTGGTGGCGAGGGGATTGCTGCTGGGAGTTTCTCCGGGCTTTGGCTGCAATAAAGGCAAGAAGTGAGTTATTTGTAATGGTAATTATGCTCTTCCAGTTTATCCTAGCACATAATTGTGTGGGTGGTAGGTTCCCAATGGTGGTAATTACCCTGGTGTTAAATGGCACGAAATTCAGCCGGTGCTGGGTTTATTCCCCCTTTTCCAGTCTGTGATTCTGTGGGACGTGGGGGACAGGAGGGCTCCCACGGGTCTCTGAAGGGGACCCCCCCAACCACACTGCCCATGCAGAGCCCCCCAGGAGCGCTCCCGTCCCCATCCTGCTGCCAGCAGCTGTGGGGGAGCCGCGGCGCTGCCTCGCCGGAGCTCTGGCTTTGTTTAATTCCTCCCATTGCCGAGCACAAAAGCCCGCCCGGCTCCTAATAACGGGCTGCTCGGCTGTTGTGACTCCTTCTGCCTGATGTGGTGGCAATATTTGGATCAGCTGAGCACTTCCCTCCGGGAGCGGGAGATGATAGCTCAGCCCGCGGAGGCAGAGCTGGGGCTGGGAGGGAGCCTGTGGTCACCACGCACCCATCCATCCATCCCTCCATCCATCCCTCCATCCATCCATCCCTCCATCCATCCATCCATCTGTCCGTCCGTCCGTCCTGCTGCTGACTGCCCATGTCACCGCAGCTCCCCCAGGAGGGCAGAGGCATTTCTGTTTTTTTTTTTTTTTTTTTTTTTTTTTTTTTTTTTTTTTTGTAGCCGGCTGCAGCTTCCTTCGTCTTAAGAGGCAGCAATTAGCGAGCCTCGTTAGAGCAGGAGCGGGATTACGAGGGAGGGAGGATGATGAGCGGGACCGAGTGATCCAGCCTTGAAGCTGGGAAAAAAGGCGAGGGGAGAGGCTCTCCGGGGGGGGCACGCTCCCCCACACTGTGCTGTGCTCGGAGGTGTCAAGTCCCTGTCCCCTCCCAGAGCTCTCCCCCTCCATCCCTGCGCATCCTTGTCCATCCTGGGGGGTCCCTCATCCTCTCATCCTTCCCCCCCCAGCTCCTCATCCAACAGCTCCATTCCCATGCTCTACCCGGGCTGGATGTGCCCAAGTCGCCCTCGCTAAACATGATAACGAGCATTAATTGATGCCTGTTAATTATCCAAGCTACGCTGGAGAATAAGCACTTTCCTCATTTAGAGTCGTACCCAAGGCAGGGCCTTGGAGGGGCTGTAGGAAGACAAACCCCCCTGGGGTGCTTATGGGGTTGGGCGTCCCCATGGCCCCGTGGTGCAGCTGGGGACATGGTGGGGACAGAGCCAGCCCCGGAGCCACCAGGCAGAGGCACTTGGGTAGCAGCAGGGCTGATGCGATGCTCCTGCTTAAGGAAATGGTTAAAGAAGAGCGACACGAGCGCGGCGGCGCTGCCCGGGCACGTGGTGGCACAGGATGGAGGCACTGGGGGAACACGAGGTGTCGAGGGGGCTGCTGTCGATGAGGGGGGGGTGGCTGGGTGGGAGGACGGGCTGGATGGAGATGTCAGCGCCGTGGCAGCCCCCCCCCCCCTCCCCGGTCCCGCTCCCCGCTCCAGCTCATTAGCGGCTCTGTGAATCGCGACGGCTGGAAAACTCAGCCAGAACCGTTTTCCTAATGGAAAAACACTTCATAATATTTGGTGTCGGGGAAGAAAACAAGTTTCTGATGATGTCGAAATGTCCTCCCTCACCGTCTGCAAGCTATCTGCTTTGAATGCTTCGTAGCCGGCTGCTGCTTCTCCTTAGAAATCCCCACGTTTCGGCATCCACCCGGCCAGCCCCGCAACCCCATGCGTTCTTGGCACCGCTGCCTGCCCATGCCCCGGGTTGTCCGGGTCCCCAGCACCCCAGGTGGGATTTTAGGGGCTCAGCTGGGGCCAGATCCTGCCCCAGGAGCTTCCTCTCCACCTCAGGTTTGTTCACACAGCGCAGCCCAAACACTTTACCTCTATAGGAACGGGGGTTTTGGGATGGCGGAGGGGATTGTGACGGTGTACCCATGCCTGTCCCCGCAGGTGAGCCCGCAGGGAAAACCCTGCAGGATGCCGAGGCTACGGGGCGGGTGCTGACACCATGAAGGGCTACCATGGGGAGCGTAGCCAGGCACAGCACTCCACCGGCCACCGCTGCCGCTGCATCCCAGAGGACTGCGAGCATCCCGCGGACTACGTCGCGCACGGCCCCGAGGGTCGGCAGCCGTACCTCCTCAGCCCCAGCGAGCCCTGTTCCCTGGAGCATCCTTTCTGCCCGGCGCGGAGCCCCGGAGCGACCGGCGAGTGCCCGGGCGGTGCCTTGAGCGAGCCGCCCTCCGGCAGCGCCAGCAGCACCTTCCCGAGGATGCACCACGCGCAGCAGCAGCCCTACGACTCCTGCGACGAATGCATGGCGACCGCCCACCCCGCCGGCAAAATCAACCGCCTGCCGCCCACGCTGCTGGACCAGTTCGAGAAGCAGCTGCCGCTGCACCACGACGGCTTCCACACCCTGCAGTACCCGCGGGCCGGCGGCGCCGAGCCGCGCAGCGAGAGCCCCAGCCGCATCCGTCACCTCGTCCACTCCGTCCAGAAGCTCTTCGCCAAGTCGCACTCCCTGGAGGCGCCGGCCAAGCGGGATTACAACGGCACCAAGATGGACGGCCGCGGGGACGGCTACCACCACCACCACCACCACCACCACCACCACCACCACCACCAGTCCCGCCACGGGAAGCGCAGCAAGAGCAAGGACCGCAAGGTGGACTCCCGGCACCGGTCCAAGATGATGGGCTGGTGGAGCTCCGACGACAATTTGGACAGCGACAGCAGCTACATGGTGTCTGGCCGGCACGCCGTGGACCAGGGCACCCAGTACTGCGTGGACGCTCCCGAAAGTGCCTTCAGAGACTTGACCTTGAAGAGTCTAAAGAGCGGTGGGGAAGGAAAATGCCTGGCCTGCGCCGGCATGTCCATGTCTCTGGATGGCCAGACGCTCAAGAGGAGTGCCTGGCACACCATGACTGTCAGCCAAGCCCGCGAAGCCTACCCCAGCGCCGGCGGCACAGGAGAAAACCTTGATGCTTCAGGAGGCAAAGGCCAAAGACAGAGCCTACCAGTACCTGCAGGTGAGGGGGCCAGGCAGGGCTGCCCCACGGGACCACTGCTGGTGATGCTGTGGGATGAGCTGGGGTTGGGTCCTTCCATCCTGGCCAGCCCTGGCGGTGTGGGGCCACGCAATGCCAGCTCTGCTCCCTGTCCCCAGCACAGCTCCATCCTGTCCTGCTGTTGCTGTCCCGTCTCCTTGAGGGTCTCCTCGCAGAGCCCCTCTGTGGTCTCTTGCCCCGTAGTCCTCTGGGTTTTGGGGTCGAAGCAGCGCTGCCTGCACAGGCTCCTCGCAGCCCTGTGCCCTCTCCCTCATCTGGGCTTTTATCCCTCTAGAGCCTGGCCCAGTGCCACCGCCTGGCCCGTCACGTCACCAGGCTCCCTTCTAGGTCACCCCCCTTCCAATTAAAAGCTAATTAACTCTTCGCTCCCTTTCCCGGGGGAAGGAGACAGTGAGTGGCAATCCGAGGGCGGGCAGCGGCGGGGGGATCAGGGCAGGGTGCCGGCCCCATCGCCCTCCCCACATGGCCCAGGGACACCATCCTGCCACCACAGCCTGGTAAGGACCCCGTGGTGCAGGTGGCACGGCCACCAGCCGGCTGGCCGCGCTGGCATGGGTGGGATTTGGCCCAGCCGCGCCTGCTGGGGGGGCTGCGAGGTGGGAGCAGGCTTTGGGAAACAATCCCATACAGGGAAAGCAGGGAACGCAGCCGGGGCTGCCAGGAAGGAGCAGCCCTCTGGAATTTGGGGCAGGGAGGGCAGAGGAGCGGTGCCGCATGTGCCGCACGACAGGCTCGGGCTGGCTCGTGGCACCGCGCGCGCCCACGCTCGCCTCCTGCCCCAGGTGCCGCAGGATGAGTGGAGCGGGTACCCAGCGGTGGGCAAGGACGGGGAGATCCCCTGCCGGAGGATGCGCAGCGGCAGCTACATCAAGGCCATGGGCGACGAGGACAGCGCCGACTCGGACGCCAGTGCCAAAATACCGCCCCGGGCGGCCACGCGGCGGGACAGCTACCGCCGCTCCTCCAGCGCCGACCAGGCCAGGAGCAAGTAAGGGCTGGTGCCGGGCTCTGGGGAGGGATCCTGGGCCACAGCCACGTGCGAAGGCTGGGAGAAGAGGTGAAACCGCAAGGCGGCTGCAAAATATCCAGATCCAGGGGGAAAACGGGCTGAGTCCTTGTCCCCGTCCCTGCTGCCCGTCGCGCGGAATTGCCCCTCTCCCGATGGCTCTGTACCGGTGGGGTTCTGGGATGGCTTTTTGGGGTGGTGAGGATGCCCTGCTGGGGACCCCCCCCATTTTGCAAGGCTGCCAGGAGCGCTCGCTGCAGCTTCTCGCTGCGTGCATGGGTGCAGAGCTGCAGCGGGGACCTTGCATGTGCTGCTGCCACCGCTTGTGCCCAGAGCCCACAGCCACGCACAGCGACACCGTGCCGGGGCAGCTCTGCTGCAGGGGGGCTGCCACGGGGACCCCACCCTGAGCATCTCTGTGCCAGAGAGCAAAGCACCAGGCAGGCGTGGTGTAGCATGATTTTGGAGGACCTGCATCCAGCCTCGACCTCTGGCAGGAGCTGGGAAGCCCCCGGCTCCCCCGGGAGGTTGGGGAGGTGGGAAGGGGTCTTCACAAGAGCTCGGGGGGCAAGTGGTGGCCTGCAGGGGCATTGCTGCGGCTGCATTTCCAAACGCTCGGCTGGAATGTGTTGCTTGTGGTGCGATCCCTTCTATTCCCACTGTCTCTCATTAGGTTTGCAAGTAGGCACTATTCTGATTCATATATCTGTAACTGTCCCAGCTGCGGCACGCCACCTCGAATGCTCCCTCGGGGACAGGGCTACGGGCGCTCCTTCACCACCGGCCAGGTAGGGCCCCCTGTCCCGGCTGGGACGTGTCCCCAAGGTGGGGACCGAGGGCGGATGCTGCAGGTGCTCCCCTGAGCATCTCCTGCCCCGCCGGGCTCCGTCCCATCCCTCGCCACCCCAAGCATCACCCGCCGCTCTCCCCAGATCAACGACGAGCTCAACCACCAGTTCGAGGCCGTGTGCGAGTCCGTTTTCGGCGAGGTGGAGTCGCAGGCGGTGGAGGCGCTGGATCTGCCCGGCTGCTTCCGCATGCGGAGCCACAGCTACCTGCGGGCCATCCAGGCGGGCTGCTCCCAGGACGACGACTGCCTCTCGCTCTTCTCCATGTCGGCCCCCCCGGGGCCGCCCATCACCAGCAGCATCCTGAAGCCCAGCACCTGTGAGTCCCGGGGGTGGCAGGGCACCGCAGCGCGAGGGTCCCCGCGTTTTCCCAACCTGCTCGCCCCAGGGCTGCTGCTCCCCTTTTGCCCCCGTGCAGCCCCCGGCATGGGGTGCGAGCATCCTGCTCATGGCTCAGCCCCTCGTTTGGGGTCTGCTGCGTGTCCCCAGCACCCATCTGCTGTCCTTCACCCTTCTTCTTTCCCCCTTCTTTCTGCATGCTGTGGTAATTTATCCAGCATGGGTAGGGGAAGGTTCCCATCCCTTTTTGGGGATAAGCTGGCCAAATGGCCACTTGGGGTCCCGAAATGCTGGCCCGAGCTGGTGTCTGTGTCCCGCTGGTCTGTGCCAGCCGAGGTGCAAACCCAGCCGGGCTGTGGGCGCTTCGCTGCGGGAGGAGGTGGGCGCCGCTCCCCGGGACCCTCGCTCGCGGTCGGAAATGAGAAAGTGTCTGTGTTTTCACGCGCCTTTTCATCCTGCGCCTCTCCCACAACAGCTTTCAGTTACAGAAAAGCTCCACCTCCCATCCCTCCAGGAACCAAAGCCAAGCCCCTCATCTCCGTCACGGCGCAGAGCAGCACCGAATCTGCCCACGAGAGCTACCTGCCCGGCGAGGTCGCCCGCAGCCCCGCCTGGTCCAAAGACGCCGCGGCTCGCTGCAACTCGGCCGAGAGCCTGGAGAGCTCCAAGGTGACGGCCGTGTCCCTCGACCTGCCGCCCGTCCAGCCCCGCGCCGCCCCCAAGCCCTCCACGCTCATCATCAAGGCCATCCCCGGCCGGGAGGAGCTGCGGAGCTTGGCTCGGCAGAGGAAGTGGCGTCCCTCCATCGGCGTCCAGGTGGGCTTCGCTCCTCCCTCCGGGTTTGAGCCCCTCGTCCCAAGTCTGCCCAAGCCGTGCGGGTGATGCTGAGCGGCTGCTGCACCTCCCCTGGCTGCTGGTAGCCCCACGGTGGCCCTAATGCCACCCCTGTGCCCGCCAGCTCGCTCTTGCTCACCCAAGGGTGCATCCTTCTCCTCCCGGTGCTGCACACAAAGCCCGAGGTGTGGGGCTGCCCTCCTGCTCATTTTCCCTCTGTCCCCGGCAGGTTGAGGCCATCTCCGACTCGGACACGGAGAGCCGGAGCCAGAGGGAGTTCCACTCCATCGGGGTGCAGGTGGAGGAAGACAAAAGGTACCGAGGGGCCAGGCCGTGCCGTGCCCCGAGCACTGTGCCAAACCCTGCCAAGCTCTCCTGGCTGTGGCTTTCCCCAGTTACAAAGCTTTGTGTCCCCCCGGTTCCTGCCCGCAGCATCTTCTCCCTCTCTCCTCCCAGCTGATGCCCCCGAGGCTCAGCACCGTCCCCATCCCAGGCAGGATCTGTCCTTCACATTCACACCCCATTGCTGCAAAGGGACAGCCCGGGGAAGGGGCGCTCCTGCTCCCACAGTGTCCTGGGGGCTCCTTTGTTGGGATTCAGCCCTGGGCTTGGAACCTGGCCCAGGCCCAGGTGAAACCTCTGAGTTTTTCTGCAAAAAAAAATATGATTTTTTGCCTGGGGTGGGAGTGCTGTGAGCCTCACAGCCTATGAACCTGCACAGCCCGCAGGAAGCCAGCTCTGGGTCCGTGCCCACCCACCCCGGTGCATGCTCCTCGGCATCCTCCAGCACCGTCCAGCACTGGTAGCCATGGAAACGGGCTAAGAGCACAGGAAATGAGGGCCTGGCAAGATGCAGCCGCTCAGGGCTGTCCCCGCAGATAGCGCGCATCCCCAGCCCCACCTGCGAGCCTCCCTCACCCCACATACACCCACAATGGCACTAGCGGGGGGACAGGGGTGGCAGGAACATCCTGGCTGGCTCGGGACCCTCAGAATCCTTGGTGTCTGCACCCAAAGGGTCCCCACGTGCTCCCTTTCCCCCCAGGCGAGCCCGTTTCAAGCGCTCCAACAGCGTGACGGCGGGCGTGCAGGCGGACCTGGAGCTGGAGGGTTTCGCCGGCCTGGCCGTGGCCACCGAGGACAAAGCCCTGCAGTTTGGGCGCCCCTTCCAGCGGCACTCCTCGGAGCCCGAATCCGGCCGGCAGTATGCGGTGTACAAGACAGTGCACACGCAGGGCCAGTGGGCGTACCGGGAGGACTACCAGATGCAGTACGACGCGGTGGAGGTGCCCCGCCGCGACGCCTGGGTGGAGCGGGGCTCCCGCAGCCTCCCCGACTCCGGCCGTGCCTCCCCGTGCCACCGCGACGGCGAGTGGTTCATCAAACTGCTGCAGGCAGAGGTGGAGAAGATGGAGGGCTGGTGCCAGCAGATGGAGCGGGAGGCTGAGGACTACGACCTGCCGGAGGAGAGTGAGTGGGGCTGTATATGGGGTCGGGGTCCCCTAGGGCTGCATTTGGCACGGTTCTCACCTGTAGAGCACCTTGGGGCACCCCCCCTGTGACGCCACTTGGCTGAAGAGGTTGGGGTCAGGGTTTGGGGACCCCAAATGATGGAGCAGGGTCCTTACCAAGCGATGGGGAAGGGATGCTCATGTCCCCAGTTGGAGAACTGACCGTCTGCTTTCTCCTGTGCCCTGCCTTAGTCCTGGAGAAGATCCGGAGCGCTGTGGGCAGCGCCCAGCTCCTCATGTCCCAGAAGGTGCAGCAGTTTTACCGACTCTGCCAGCAGAACATGGTGAGTGCCCGTCCACCCTCCTGGGGCAGGCTGAGGCTCAGCCTGGTGGGCTGGGGGGCAGCAGAGCCGATGCTCTGTGGGATGACGTGGCCCCTTTTGTCCCCGCAGGATCCCAATGCCTTCCCAGTGCCCACCTTCCAAGACCTGGCTGGCTTCTGGGACCTGCTGCAGCTCTCCATCGAGGATGTCAGCATGAAGTTTGCAGAGCTCCAGCAGCTCAAGGCCAACGGGTGGAAGATCATCGAGCCCAAGGTAAGGGCAGGGGGGCACGGGGCTGGTGCTGGCTGCGCGTCCCTCCCTTCTCCTTCCCCCAACACATCTGTGGCCAAACCGCTGCTGCCGCCGGCAGAAAGCACCAGCGGGTGCTTTCAGCAACCACTTGAAAAACAAAGAACAGGAAAAAAAATGAGGCCATTCCTCGTTGCAGCGATGTTGCAGCCGGCTTCTGGGCAGCGCTGCCTGCAAAGGGCTGGGCACGATCCCGCGCACGTGCACGCTGCGGGCGCGCAGCCCCGTGGAGACTGTAGGAAGGGACACGCAGCCTCGTCTCACCTCTCCATCACGTGCAGGGGGGGATAAAGGGGACAAAAGGCTGTCCCTGCGCCCACCCTGAGGCTTCCCTGTTGTCTGTGCAGGAGGAGAAGAAGGTGCCTCCCCCGATACCAAAGAAGCCGCCGCGCTCCAAGGTGCACCCGGTGAAGGAGCGCTCGCTGGACTCGGTGGACCGGCAGCGGCAGGAGGCTCGCAAGCGGCTCCTGGCAGCCAAACGCGCCGCCTCCTTCCGCCAAAATTCGGCCACCGAGAGCGCGGACAGCATCGAGATCTACATCCCCGAGGCGCAGACCCGGCTGTGACAGGGGGGAGCCTCGGCTTTTCTACCCGGACTGGACGGCGCGTCCATCGCTCACTGTGATCGGGGGCCGCGGGGACACCCTGGGGGCAGCGCTTGGCCCACTCACAGCTTCTCTCTTTTTCTATCCTAGACGTTTCATGGATCCGACGGTGAATGAACACCAACCCGGTTCGGCCCCATCCCGTAGCCCCCCACCCTCCCACCCTGCCCGCATGCCCCTGCCCGCCTCTGCCAGGGTCCAGGGCTCTTCCTTCCCCCCTGCCCTTTTTGGGGCCGTGTCTCAGCTCTTCTGTCCCTCGGCCCCCCTCAGTCCCTGTCCCGTCCGAAGGAGAGGTGACCCCAGCCTGCCAGCCCTGCTGGGTGGGAGGGGAGGGGGCTGCAGGCAGGCCCCCCCCCAGCCTCTCTGTAACTCAGTGCAATCCCGCGGCCGTGGGGACGGCCCCCCCCCGAGCCCCCCAGCCCCGTGCCCAGCCGGAGCCCCCGCTCCACTCCCCGTGGGGAACCCAGGGGTCCCTGCCCTATACACGTATATAAATATAACCTAAGGAATAAAACAAAAACTACACACGACCAGAGCTGTGTCCTGGCGGGCGGGACATGACCAGAGCAGCAGAACTCCCCCCCCCCGCCAGCCCCGCTCCCCTTGCACCGAGCATCAGCACCGGCGTCCTGCCCTATTCCCCTGTCTGTCCGTCCATCTGTCTGCCCACACGTTTGGGAGCACCTCGGGGACAGGGCAGACGGCTCCCCCTCAGCTCCCTGACCTGATGCAGGGCAGTGCTGAGCGAGGTGGCAGTGTCAGGGAGACTTCCCCACACTCACATAGGACCCCCCATGGTGCCGTGCAGTGCCCTGGTTTGGGGACACCACAGCGGGCACGCCGGGCACTGAGCTGCCAGCTGGGGCTGGCCTCGGTGTCCCCCGCACACGGGGACAGGGCTGTCGGTGTGGGGCCGATGGAAATTCCCTGCAGGGTGCCCCCCTTCTCCCCAAGCTGCTGGTGCTCCGCTGGGGATGGGACACCTCGAATGGGGTTATCATGTCCCCGGTGCCCCATGGGGACGGGGGACATCCCGGGGTACAGCCCTCATGCTCCAGCTCTGTTTTCTCCGTGCGCAGAGCCGGGAGATCCCCGAGGGCAGCTTCCCGGGGGGGAATTCAGGGATGCTGCTGCATCTGTCCCCATCCCTGGGCACGTTCGTGGTGTCCCCACCCCGAGCACAGCCCGCAGAGGGCAGGGACGTGGTGTATCCATGCTGCCAGCCCTCGGAGAGCAGCTGCCAAGGGGCACGGCCCCCGCTGCCCGCTCCCAAAGCCCCTGCCCCAAAAGGACGCCTGCCTGCACTGTGACCCCTTCAAGGGCTGCCCCTCCCCGAGCCCCCTTCTCCCCTTCTGGTGGACGCCACCCACTGCCAGCACCCTGCCCGCAAGCTCCCAAGGGTGCCGGGCACCTCCCCAAACCCGTGGCCAGCTTCGGCCTGGGGCAACCCCACAGGATTTTGAGGTGGGGTAAGGGCTCAGCTTGTGCCCCCCACCCTGCAGTGAGGTGGGGTGTGGGTGGCTCGGAGGCAGGGCGCTGCTTTTGGGGGGGCTGCTTTGTACCCTGGGGGGAAGACGGTGCTAAAGCCCCGGGTGTCACTTACTGGGGGGGGGGGACAGGGGACACAGAAGCCACATTAAGGGCAGGTAGAAGCCAGGCTGCAGCTTGCAAGGGACACGCTGGTGACAAAAAGGGGGGGGGTCTACCCCGGGACGGAGCCCCCCTCAACCCTCCACGCCGTAGCTTTTAGCGATGTGCCTGCAAAGGGACGCCCCCGAGCCCCCCCGAGCCTCCCCCCGGCCCTGCCAGCACTGTACAGTGACCGTGACACGTGGCTCCGTTTTTATTGTAAGAAAACCGCCGGAATTAATAAAAAACCACTTTGGTTACTCCGGGGCCAGCGGCCACCTTCCCCGCGGGGATGTGGCTGGTGCCCGGCTCGCCTTTACCCCGTCTGTGTGCCCGTTGTGGCTGTGGGGTGGCTGAGGAGTCTGTAGGGTGGGAGAGGGGTTTGTCGGGTGTAAGAGGGGTCTGTGGGGTGGTAGAGGGGTCTGTAGGGTGCAAGAGGGGTCCATACGGTGTGAGAAGGGTCTGTGGGGTGGAAAAGGGGTCTGTAGGATGCAAGAGGGGTTTGTGGGGTGTGAGAGGGGTCTGTGGGGTGGGAGAGGGATCCATGGAGTGGGAGAGGGGTCTGTGGTGAAGAAAAGGGGTCCATGGGGTGGGAGAAGGGTCCTTGGAGCAGGAGAGGGATTTGTGGGGTGCAAGAGGGGTTTGTAGGGTGGGAGAAGGGTCTGTGGGGTGGGAGAGGGGTCTGTGGGGAGCGAGAGGGGTCTGTAAGGTGTGAGAGGGATCTGTGGGGAAGGAGAGGGGTCTGTGGGACAGGAGTGGGATCTGTGAGGTGGGAGAGGAGTTTGTAGGGTGCGAGAGGGGTCTGTGGGGAAGGAGAGGAGTCCATGGAGTGGGAGAGGGGCCTTTAGCGTGGGAGAGGGGTTTAAGGGGTACAAGAGGGGTCTGTGGGGTGGGAGAGGGGTTTGTGGGGTACGAGAGGTGTCTGTGGGGTGTGAGAGGTGCCCACAGTGTGGAAGAGCAGCCCGCGGGTCACGATTAGGGTTTTCGGGCTGCGAGCCGGGCTCTGTCTGAGGCACGAGCGGGTCCCCCTGAGCCTGTGGGACCAGCACAGCGCTGCCCCCGAGCCTCCCTTAACACATCTCCCCTCACGGGCCGGCCATGGCGACCCCCAGACCCCTCCCCTCAGCCCTCCCCGGCCCTCCCCTCAGCCCTCCCCGGCCCTCCCGGCCCTCCCCGGCCGCTCCTCCAGAGCCGCGGCTCCCCGGGAGGCCGCCGGGGGGCAGCACGGCCCCGCCGGGCCCCGCTCCTCCGGCAGCGGAAGGGGCGGTGGCGGCGGCCGGGCCCTGCTGAGAGGGGCCCCGGTCCCGGTTCCCCGACCCCGGGGGACACCGTTTGGGGGGGTCCCGGTGGTCGTTGGGTCGCGATCGGGTCCGGTTGGGGCTCGGTGCGGTTCTAAACGGGAGCCCCCCGGGAGGTGGTGTCCAAAGCGGGGGGTAGGGTGGGGTGGGGGGGGCAGTGCCGTGGTGGTTTTGGGTTTATTTTGGGGGGTTTTCGGTGGGGAGCTTCGTGTCCGTGGTGCCAGGCGCCATGTGGTCCTGTGCTGTGGACGGCCCTGCGCACCCACGCGCCCTCCGTCACCTTCCCGGTGGCTTTCGTGGTGGGGGCCGTGGGTTACCACCTCGAGCGGCTCCTCCGTGGCCGCCCCCCGCCGCCCCCCGAGGATGAGGAGAAGAGCATCGCCGAGCGGCGCGAGGACCGCAAGCTGCAGGAGATCGCCGGCCAGGACCTCACCAAGGTGGTGAGCCTCAAGGACAAGCTGGAGTTCGCCCCCCGGGCGGTGCTCAACAGGAACCGACCCGAGAAGAGTTAATGGAGGTGTTCGTCCCCACCGTGGGGGGCTCGCTCAGGACCCCCAGCTGGATGGGGGACGCGTCCCTCAAGTGTGGTGCTTGGGGGGTTTCTCTGTCACCCGCACGGCTTCCACCGGCCCCCCTGCATCTGCACTTCAGCCCCCACCGCTGCATTTCACCCTCCCTGGGCTCCTCGGTGGGCTTGGGGTCTGCCAGACCCCCATCCCACATCGCCTGCGGGGATGGGGGGGATGCTTTGGAGGTGTGGAGCCCGGCAGCCCTCGGCCTGGCCTGGTCCCTGATGCACGAAACCCTCCTGGCCTGGTTCCACCTGCGTCGCTTTCGGTTCGGTTTCTTCGTGGGCATGAAAACAGAAGGGAATTGCTCTCAGAAGGAGACTTGGACCTGAGTGACGTGGGGTTGGGGGCGGACTATGGGGGGCGAGGAGGGCCTGCCGTCCTGCCTCCAGCTCTCCATGCTCTTTGTGAACCCAGACTGGCTTGCTAGAGACCGCGGCACCGAGCTATCACCACGAGCCTGAGCATCGAAGGAGATCTGGGAGCTCTTCTCCGCAGGACTTTGCAGCAGGAAAGGGGGCCAGGGGAGGTGGGCGTCCTGGCGCTGCACCCGACATGAAGCTCAGATGTGTAGAGGACGAGGAGCTCCCTTGCCCTGTACTTAGCCAGATTAAACTTCTGTGAGTCCTGGGCCTCTGTGTCTTCTTCTGCATCGCCACCAGGCCAAAACCCTGCCTCAGATCCCGGTGTTTTCAGAAAACCCCCTTCTATAAAGAGATGTCCTGGCTGTAGCTGGGCTGTGCCTGGCACAGCCAGGGAGGGGTGGTGAGCAGGAAGGAGGGGAGGGCACCAAAATACCAGCCCATGCTGCTGCTGTGCCTCCCTCCTGGCTCCCCCTGGTCACGTCGCTGCTTCCCCTCAGCCTCCTTATCTAGACCAGAAGGGTGGTGGCAGCGCTGGGTGGGGGCCCGAGGGACAAGGGGGAGGAACATGCTGTACTGGGGAGCGAGCACTGGGGACCTGCAGCCAGCACGGGGCTGGTGGTGTCCCCTCGAGCCTCGGGAGCCTTCCCAGCACGGTGCCACCAAACCCCTGTGCTGCCCCTCCGTGCCGGGCCCTCGCTGGGGTTATCGCTCTCTCCCGGCTTTGTTTTTTTCCCTGGTCCCGCAGCGAGGCCTCGCTCGCTGCCCCAGCCTGGCCTTCCCCTCCCGAGGCCGATAAATCTGTTGTGTCTCGCGCAAAGCCCTGATGTCAGCAGCCAGTTCAGCGTTTTGCCGTGCTCCGGCCTGCCCCGCTGACAGCTTTACTGCCTGCGCTCCCCGGCTGTTTACCTCCGGACCTGCTTTCCTCGGGGCTGGCTCTGTGCCCCCTGGCCGAGCTCGCCGCCAGGAACTCGTGGCCAGAGCTGTTTGCGAGGGAGCTGAGGCAGAGCCCGGAGGAGCTGGGTGTCTGCTGCCTGGTTGACAAGTGCTCGGTGCTACCCAGACCAGAAATTGCAGGAGGAATTAGGGCAATGGAAGGGCTGCCCCAAACCTGCCCCGTGCCCTGCTGCACCCCGTTCTGGGGTTCAAATGCATCGCTGTCCCTTCACTCAGCAGCCCTTGGCTTCTGCCTTTCCCAGCCCTGCTGGGGTGATGCTGGTCCCTGCTGCGCTCAGGGGTGGGAACAGTCCCCTCGCCCCCCTCCCAGCTGGGACCAGCTCGGAAACTTCTTCCGAAATCCCTTTGTTCACCCCGCGACAGCGCGGCTCCCTCGGCTGTTTATAGCCGATTGATCTGCCCGTTCTCAGGCTCGGCTCCGCAGGGCACAATCGAGCTTTGTTGGGGCCTCGCTGGCCCATTTCCTTTCCCGAGCCCACTCAGCTCGCTGAAACAATGCTGGGAGAGGACGGGGCCCCCCCAACAGCAGGCTCTGCAGGTACCGAGGACCCCGGCTGGGCAGCCCCAATCTCTGCTGCTCCCTGCGCCCACCGTGCTGCCTTGCCAGTGCTTCCACATTTCCAGCTGGTTTCTGCAGTGGGGGACGAGCCAAAGCCTCCCCATAGGTGCTGGGGCTTCCCCAAGAGCAGCCGTGGTTTGGGAAGGTGCCCCAGCTCTCCTAAATTCTCGGTACCGCACACCCACCCTTCCTCCCATTGAATCCCAACAATGTGCTGCCCGGGAAGCGCTCGCTGGACAAGAATAGGAGCCGGCGAGCACCGAGGGACGGGGCAGGCAGACACAGGGGCTCTCTAGGAGCGAGAGGAAGCGTTGTTGAATAAACCATTATGGCAAAAGTTGGCCACGGGAGCTCGTGCACAGCCGCTCACGTGCAAGGCGCTGCTGTGGACCAGGGGCTGGAGCTTTGCGGGAGGATGCTGTGCTGTCAGCAGCCCAGGAGTCGGAATTCAGGGAGTTGTGTGGCAGCAGCCTGGCTGCCAAAATACCACCACCAAAATAGCCAGCAGCTGCCAGGATACCACGTACCCGGCAGGAATGGCACCGGCTGGTTTGGGGCTCCTTGTCCCTGCCTGGTCCACATTTTCCTCTCCATCAGCTCCGAGAGCAGCTGAGCCCCTGCCTCGGCCAGGGCTGTGTTTGCTCCCGGGGGTCCAGCAAGGAGCAGGTTGTGTTTTCCGGAGGCAGGATGCAGACGGGGAGCCGGGCAGCTCTCCTGCCCTCCCCACGCTGCTCCCCAGCCCACCAGCTGCTGTGTGTGCAGGCAGAGGGGGGAGAACAGGGACCCCAGAGCCCCCCTCCCAGCTGCTCGGCACGGCTCAACACCTGGGCAGCCGCAGCGGATGTCCGCTTAGATCAGCTCAGGGATGCGCCAGCTGCATGGGGCTGGGGATGCTGTGACCGTGCGGTGGCACGGGGGGTGCTCAGCACCTCGCTCCCCATCCAGCAAGGCCATGAGGCTTTGTGGGATGAGACAGGACGAGAGGGGGGCCCTCAGGGACTCTCACTGCTGTGTCTCGTCCTGGAGCAGCACTGTCACCCCAGGGCACCCGGGACGTGCCGGCAGCCCCGAGATTCAGAGGTGTGCTCTCCCCAGGGGCACTGGCTAGCAAATGGCTTGTCCCTCCCCGGCGTGTCCCCGCAGCCCCTGGGGACGGCTGCTCTCTGTCCCAGTAAGCCCAGGCTGTGTTCCCAGGCTCTGTTTTTGTCCTTTCCCAGCATCCCAGCTCGCTGCAGGGCCCACGGTCCCACAAATCGCCACTGCTGGCTCTTTTCTTACAGCCATCAAAAGCTCTGAAGTGCTTTTGGAGAGGCGCAGCTCTGGTTTAAATCAAGCTGCCTCCCCAGAGCCCTGGCCTGGGACAGCTCCAGTGGACACGTCCCTCTCTGTGTCACCTCTTTGTGTGCCCACAGCTCGGGGCTGGATCCCAGACCCCATCCCGGGGTGGGCACGGGTTGCGGGTGCTGCCAGCCGTGCTGGTGCTGCTGTTTGAGCACCAGGAGGTGGCCAGAGGGAAGGGACAATGTCAGGATGCCTGAACTCGCCGGGGCTGTCGAATGCATTTCCTCTCGCCCGCGGTTCTCACACGGGGCGAGGGGGCCGCATTGTCTGCCGTGCCCATGCGTGGAGGGCTAAATTTAGCCCCGCGCCAGGGGAAGGAAGGGAGTGGGTCTGGGGGCTGCTTTGCTTTCATTGTGCATTGTTGGTGGCGGGGCCGACAAGGGCAGGATGGTGCCCGGCTTTGGTGCTGCCTCCGTGGTGGGTGCTGGGGCTCCGGGGTGCTTCAGGAGGGTGCTCCCAGCTGAGCTGAGCTGAGCTGAGCCCCCACTGAGCACCCCCGAGGCCCGATTGCTCCTGCCCTGACCATCTCCAGGTCCCCATGGGCCGGGGGTGCTGTGCTGTAGTCCCAGTTGGCATCACCTTGCCCAGCCTCTGCCCTTCCTCCCTTCCCAGCTGCAATTTTGCTCCCGCCGCCGCCGCTCTTCCTGTGAGCAAGTCGGATTTAGAAGCTTGATCTTTTCTCTATGCTGGGAAAGCTTAAAAATAAACTCCTTGGTGCTCAGCCAGCTCCTCAGGCTGATCCTTGCAGCGGGACGTGCTGCGGCAGCCCTCACACTGCTCCTCTCCTCAGTCCGGAGCTGGGCTGTGCGGGGAAACCCAGCCTGGCCCCAAGCAGAGGGCAGGACGCTCCCTGCAAACCCGTGGTCCTGGGGCTGTCACAGGTATGGTGTTTTGGGGGCTGGGGCTGGCATTGGAGCAATGGCCCCAGCAGGAACTGGGGTCCCGAGAGCTGGAAAGCTGCCCCTAAATTATTCCTGGATTAGGAGGTGCTCTGAGTGTCCACCCAAAACCTGCCAGCACGGCACTGGGAGGTGCGTGGCCACGTGCCCAAGGGGTACCCATGTCTGTGCACCCCGAGCTTCAGGTTGTTGGAGGTCAGTTCAGGTGCACGTCCCGCTGCCAGTCCCCTCTACCCCTCTGTCTTGCCCTTGAGCACCTCACATCGCTCTCTGGGCACTCGCTTTTCTTTCAGTGTGTGCAGAAACAGCCTCACGCCGCTGCCTGCGCCCATGGAGCAAAGCGTGCACGTCGGGCACAGCACGGGCAGGTTAGTTTTTGGGTTTCCACCTCTGAAAATCCCTCCAGCCTCAGAGTGGGATAACCCCCAGGCTCCTAGGTGAGGGTACAAAGGCAGCTTGGTGAAAGCTGTACCTGTCCTAGTGGCAGCAGCCCCAGGGGAGGTGCTGGGTGCGAGCACCCTAAAAAAGCGGCCACACCAGGGGTGCCCACGGGGAGCTGCTCACCCACTGCCCCCCACCTGCCCTCACCCCTGCAGGGCTCAGCACCATGGCACGGGGCTGGGCTTTGGGCCAGCGAGTGCAGTTCCCAGAAAGGGACCGGAGGAGCCTGTTTACTCAGGAGGCAGCGCGGAGGTGTGAGAAAAGCCGCTCGCGTCCGTCCCGCCGCTATCTGTCCCCGGGCTCTGCGAAAGGGCTCCTCCGGGCCAGCCAGCGCTCTTATCAGCTCCAAACTTTTATTTGCCTTAGGGCCGCCTGCCCACCTTCGGGGGGGTCTCGTGCCTACACCGGCCCCGTGGCCGCCCCGGCCTCGTGGTGCAGGTGAGCCCTGGCTGTTGTTGTTGGCGTGCGCCGAGGGCAGGTCCCGGCGGCGCGGGGTCACCGCGGCTGCCCCCGTCCCAACACGGGAACAATAGCGGCGTGCGGGGCCGTGTTGTTGCAGCCCCCACGGCCAGGCACGAGCTGCCCCGCTGGCTGCTGCCTCCAGGCAAGGGGGCTCGCGGCCGTCTTGTTTTCCACCTTGCGGGGTTGTTTGGAAAAGCGAGCTGCGCTCCCGGTGCCAACAAAAATATCAGCCCGGGACAGGCGAGGGGAGAAAACAGAGGCTGCCCGGCGGGTAAACAGGCTGCGGGGCTGCAGCACGGCTGCGCCGTTACCTTTCACACTGGCATTTCCTCCCCGCTGAGCACAGGGAGCTGCGGGGTTTCGTGGCTCTGCTGATGCCTGGTGGGAGCCAGCCCAGGGGGTCCCCACGTGGGAAGGTCCCCATTTGGGGGTCTGCCCTGGTGTCGTGATGGAGGGTGCAGGGAGAAGCGTGCCTAGGATTTTGGCACCCCAAGGCTGGGGTTTTGGCACCCTCTGGGGATGTGCCCCCATCCCAGTGTAGGGTGGGAAGCCAGGGAGAGGCTTGGGCACAGCCCCAGCTGGGCGCAGCGGGGCAGGGTGCCTCCCTCTCCGCTTCCTCTGGTGGCCGATGGCAGCGATATCTCCCCGTATCACCCATATTTCATTTACTCCAGGGTATTTTTAGTCTGTCCCACCCTCTCTGAAGAGGCCCTCAGCAGAAAGCAGGCTCTGCCCTAGGCTTACTTGGCCAGGGAAACTAAACACAGCCCCAGCACACGTTGCGTGCCTTTATCTGCAGCTCATTTCCACCTATTATTCAGCAGCCCCACAGCCTCAGCGAGGTTTATCTGCAGCAGAGCTGGGGCAGAGGGGCGAGAGGCCTTTGCTACGGGGTTAAGCTCCACATTGGGCCACCCAAAACCCTTCTGCTTCACCCAGAACCTGCGCTGCCCCGTGATAAACCACACAGAGGCTCAGGGTGATGTAGCAGGGAAGTTTTGGCTTCTGGTGATGAGCAATCAGCAGAGCTCACCTGGCACATCCTCACCCCCATCCCGTTACCCTGGGGACAGCAGCATCCCTGCCCCAGCCACCAAGCACAGGCACAGCACTCTCCAGGTTTTCATTCATCCAACTTTATTCAGCAAAACGCAACACTCCGAGCCAGGCAGGGGGGGAAAAAGGAAAGAGAACAGAGGAGCGATGCCCACGTCCTGCGCTCACATCCTAGTCCTGAGCACCAGGAGGGGCAGGAGCCCGCAGCACCTGCTCGTGTCACAGCTTTGTCAGGCTGGGAGAGCCGGGACAAGCCCTCTGCCCCCGCCAGCCCACAGCAGGAGATGACTAGTGCAAAGTAATTAAAACAGGAACCCCCCCCAAAGCAGCGACTGCCAGGCTAATTATTCCTCCCCCAGTTCCACCGGGCTGGACGCGGCTCCCCTGCACCCATAAGGCAGAAAGCTCCACGCCGGGGCCAGCAGGTTAAAAATAACTTAGAGACATCACGTGGGAAAGGGTCCGGGGACAGGACACGGGGGGGGTTCACGCTCCTGGGGTGCGCAGGGTGAAAACAGGGAGCTGCACGGGGTTAATCCCACCAAGGTCCATGGGGACGGGGGCAGCTCCTGCAGCAAAACCCCCCCAACAAGGCACTGGCAGCTCCATATTTCTGCCAGGGGTCACAGGAAGAGGACACGGCTGACGGCCAGCATGAGCGGCTTCCCACGGCTGTGCGCTCACTCCCGCACTGGCAGGGGGTCCGTCGAGTCCCACAGGGCAGTTTTTATGGGCAGGAGACCCCAAGGAACAGCCCTGGGGACAGTCCGTGGCCCCCATCTCATCCCATCCCCAGGGATTTGCTCCCTTTCCCACGGCAGGAGCCAGCCCCTCCACCCGGGACGCGCCGTCCCAGCACAGCCCGAAATTTCTGCGTGGTTTCCTTCCTCGCAGCCTACATGGGGAAAACAGAGAGCAGAGGCTCCTGCTCCGGGGCCGGGGAGCACCCGGCTGAGTTCGTGAGCATCAGGTCCCAAAATGTGGGCAGCCACATCCTCCGGAGCAGGGCTCAGCTGGGGGGACCACGGGTGGTCCCCAGCCCGCCGGGGCCAGCCCGGCACTACACATACTGCTTTTTGGAGGCTGAGCTCCCGGGCCGGCTGCACAGCTTCTCCTCCAGGGCTGGAGCTTCGGGAACTTTGGGAACGTAGGGGTCCGAGAGGGGCCTGGGGCTGCCGAGAGCCAGGTTCTCCTCGTTGTGGAAGTTGGCCCAGTTCTGCTCGCTGGAGAGCTTGTTGTAAGCCTGGAAGGGCGGCGTGTGGCTGTCGGCCATGGGCAGGAACGGGTAGTGCTTGGGTGGGTACGGACCCGACACCAGGTCGTCGGCAAAGGTGTCCCGGCTGGGGCCGGCCGGCGCCGAAACCTTCTTGATGGTGCTGAAGAGGTGCTTGCAGCACAGGTGGAAGAGCTCCAGGAGGTTGAGGACCAAGGAGACCAGGCCCATCACCAGCATGAAGATGATGAAGATGCTCTTCTCGGTGGGGCGCGAGATGAAGCAGTCGACCTGGTGCGGGCAGGGGTCCCTCTTGCACACGTAGCGGGGCACCATGGAGAAGCCGTAGAGGTACCACTGCCCCACAAGGAAGCCGGCCTCAAAAATGCTCTTGCAGATGACGCTGACGATGTACGTCCACATCAGCGCCCCTTGGATCTTGAGCCGCCCATCCTCGGTCACGTAGATTTTGGACATCTTCTTCTCCACGGCTGCCAGAGCCTGCTCGATTTTCGGGTCCTTGCTGTGGATTGCCCGCAGCTCGCTCTCCTGCTGCTTCAGCTTCTCCTCCTTTCGGGACAGATAAACGACGTGGCCGAGGTAGATGAGGGTCGGGGTGCTGACGAAGAGGAACTGGAGCACCCAGTAGCGGATGTGGGAGATGGGGAAGGCTTTGTCATAGCAGACGTTGGTGCAGCCGGGCTGCTTGGTGTTACACACGAAATCCGACTGCTCGTCCCCCCACACGGACTCGCCGGCCAAACCCAGGATGAGGATGCGGAAGATGAAGAGCACGGTGAGCCAGATCTTCCCGATCACCGTCGAGTGCTCCTGGACTTGGTCCAGCAGCTTCTCCAGGAACCCCCAGTCACCCATCTTCTAGGGAGCCTCGTGCTTCTGGTAGAAGGGACAGGAGGGGGGAAAAAAAAAAAAAAAAAAAAGAGTTAAAAATCCCCTTTTTCACACTGGGCAGCTCAGGCTGCACAAACCCAAAGCTTTCTTGGGATCCTGGGACACAGCCACTCCTCAGTGTCCCAGCCAGCCCACTACAGAGCATCCCACATGGGGCACACCACAAGGAGGAGCCCAGCAGGATTTCTCCTCCCAGGAGGGGCCCAAATCCCCCTGCCCTACAGCCTTCCACTAAAAGGCAGCAAGCAGCACAGCCATAGGGTCAGGAACACGAACCCCTGGGGTACAGCAGCCACCCCACCACCCAGAGGGCTGCCCCCCAGACCTAGGGAACAGCCCCCAGCCAGCTCCCTTTCTATGGGGCGATGCACCCCAGCCCCAAATCGCTCCCCCCATACCCACCAGCCCGAGCACCCCAGAGCCACTCACCGTGCACAGACCCTGACCCCGCTCTGGGACCCCTGGTTGTCCCAGTGTCACCCCCGGCCACCAGCCAGCCCGTCCCACATCACCCCACAGGAGCCCAGCCCTACAGCCCAGCTGGGGGAGAGGAAGAGGCCCCAGCGCTGACTCCTAATTAACCCCTGCCAATTAAGCACCCAGAGGTGCCAGCTGGGCAGTTAAAGGGACATCCCCCCGGGCGGCACCGGGGGAAGCCAAGCAGAAAAGGGGCTGCAAGCAGAGAGGGGGTGACCCCAGACCCCAAAGCAGGGAGCGGGTGGGAAGGGAAGGGTGACCCTAAATAGGGTGCAGCTGCCCGGGAAGGGGGTCGGGGGCTCGGGGGGGGGCCGCTCACCCACGTACCCCCCAGGCACCCACCCGCTCACCCTCGCAGCTCCGCGCTTCGTCCCGCCTGTCCCGGGACCGGGCGGTTGTGGCCGTGTAGGGCCGGGGGGGGACCGGGGGGAGCCGGAGGAGGAGCACGGGCAGGAAACCGGGGGCCGGGGCTTAGCGCAGAGCCGCAGGTGTGGGCAGCGGGGCCGGGACGGGGGAGCAGGAGTTATGGGGGGGGGGACCGCCAGCACCTCCCTGGGGGGCTTCAGGGGGGAGAGAGGTTGGGGGGGGAGCGAAAAGCCCCCCGTGGTCGTGGGGAGCCAAAACCTGAGGGGGGCAAAGCGGGGGTCCGGCTGTTTCAGCGGGGGTAGGGGGAGAGGTGGGCGGTGGGATCGGCCGTGCCAGGGTGTCCCCAGCCCCGTTGTGCCCCCAAAATCCTGGGGGGGGGGAGTGGGGAGGGCGAGTGCTGGGGTCTGAGCATCCCCCCAGGGGCAGCACCGGGAGGCGGCGGAGGGCGCAGGGCGCGGGGCCGGGGGACCCCTGGGGATGCTCAAAGCCGGGGGGTGTCCGGGGGGGGGGGTCGTGTCCGAGGGATTTGGCTCCGTGGGGCACTGGGGCCGTGCTCTGCGTGGGCACTGGGTGGTGCTGGAGCCACGCCGCAGCTCCAGCCCCGAGGTTCAGCGAGCTCCTGCCTGGTGCTGAGCAAACCCAGGGAGGGTGCACGGGTTTTAGGCAAAGGTTGGGCTCGATGGAGGATTTGGGATGGGGCATCCAGGGTGCGGAGCGGGGCTGGAGCCGGGGGATGTGGTGGCACCGGTGTGGGGATGGGAACAGCGGGTGGCCGGGGAGCCCCTGGGGTGGCAGCGGGGACTTTGTTCCAAGGGGACCTGAGTGGGGCTGGCACTGGAGCCTCTGCTTCAGGAAAGCAGTGAGTGGAAGCAGGAATTTATGCACTGATTGATGTCCTGTGGGTCTGGGGACCCCATTTGTGGCACTGCAGCAGCGGTGATGGGCTGGCGTGGTCACCACAGGCAGCACGGGGCCAGCCGGAGGTGGCAGGATTTGGGTTTGGGCAATGCCAGAGGAAACTAGGCCAGGGAGCTGCTGCGGGACGTGGCATTTCCTCCTGCAGACAGGTCTGAGCAGAGGGTGGTGGAGCCGGAACAGCATCGTTATGTTTAATAGAACATAATTGCCCTGCCTCGGGTAACACCCACGTGCTGCCCCGTGGCACCGGGGTGCTTTGAAGCCCAGCCAGCCCGCCAGGGTTACCGCTAACCCCTTCCCACCGCCCCTGCCGTGACGTGTCCCTGCCTGGCTCCTGTCCCCGGGGACGCTCCGCACCCTGCCAGCCCCCAAATGATCCCCTCTGGTTGCCCCAGAACCACCAAGGAAATGGAGCTGCCCCCACCTCTGGGTGCACCGGCTCCCACGTTGCTTTACCCACCGGCACCGTGCCCAGCACGTGCTTCAGCCACGCCAGCCGCAGGGAGGACGCCCCAAAACAGCCCCCACAACTGGTTCCTGTGCCTCCCAGTCACACACCCCACACCATCCATCCTCCCGGAGCACCCATCCTCTGGTGCTGGGCACCCCGTGCCCAAGACTGGCACCGCGGGTGCCAAAAGTGACACAGCACCGAGCAGCCTGTGCTGGGGGCACTTGCCCCGTGTCCCAGCACAGAGAAATGTCACCCTGCCACCAGCACGAGCCCCAGCCGTGGTGGCACATGCCACAAGACGTTTGTGGGGGCTGAGAAACGCCAGCAGCCCCTCCGCACAGAGCTGCTTAAGGAGAGATTAAGCGGAAATCATTGCTATTTATTTTAATATTTATCGAGGTTTAGTAAATAATTGATGCTGATCCCTCCTTGATTTCCTTGGGGGCCGGCATGCAGTTCTGGTGAATTTGAGTGTAACGAGGTGTGACAAGAGGAGCTGGGGGAGCAGGCGGCCACCAGGCCACCAGCCCTGGCCGTGGGGAACCTCTGCAAATCCATTTCTTCAGCCCTCACCTCTCCCCCCCCTGCAACCTCCAGCACGCAGAGCAGATCCCAATGTCCACAAACAGCGTTGGATTCACACAGCTAATGCCGTGAATGACACATCTATTGAGCCGAGGGCTGGGTACAAAGGCACCGAGGGAAGCAGCAGAGCCAGAAAAGCCACTTGGGCAGGACGTCAGCAGGGCTCTTGCATGAGCAGACAGAGGGAAGCTGCTCCTGCCCCGGTAAAGGCAAACGGGGCCGAATGAGCAGTTGGCAGCAGCCCGGAGCCCTGCCCGTCGGGGATTTCTTCGGGTGCGCCGAGAGCTCACAGCAAGGCTCGCAGCTTCACGCTGGCAGCACGAAGGAGGCAGCGAGCGAGGGCAGCCCTACTGCTGCTGGAGGATGCAGGCTCTGGCCGTGGAGCTGAGCCCAGGGTTTTCTTGGTTTCTTGGTACAAAAAAAAAGGAGGATGGATGGAACAGCTCTTGGGATTGTGTGTATGCGAGGCACAGCAAGCCAGGACTGTCACCACAGGACCCGAGAGAAGCTCTTGGACATGGGAGCTCCTGGCTGCTCCCCGCTGCTGGCCCCAGTCTCCTGTGTCCTCCCAGTGCAAAGGCTTTGTCCCCACTGGGGACAGCTTGGGGGCTGTTTTTTGGAGCTCATGACCTGTGTCCATGTGTCAGCGTGGTGTCCGAGCCCTGAAGCACCGCCGTGTGCAGCCAGCAGAGCTCAGGGGCTGCCCTCACCTTACCTGCATCTTCTCGGCACCCCATGGTCCTCTCTTGGGGAACCTTCTTGGGGTCAGTCATTTTTCAAAAAGGGTCAAATCTCCAGGGTTTGGGAAATGTGTAGGCTTGAAAAACTCATGGTCCAAGGGAAGGCGAGCTGGCTGGGGCAGGGGAGATCAGAGCTCCTCTCCTCTGTGGAAAAAACAGACACTCTCAGGTGTGCCCCAGGGCAGCAGGCACCCGGCCACCACCATGCATGCCCTTGCTGCTGGGGCATCTATGGTCATGAGTCCTGGTGGTGTCTGTCCTGTCCAGTGGGTGACAGGGACCCCCTCATCCACTGCCTGTGTCACTGTGTGTCCCAGCTCCTCCTGCGCCCATCTGGGTCCCTGCCCTGTGCCCCCGATGGCCTCACACCAGTCCTGCTCCCATGGGGCCACCGAGCAGGAGAGATCCCATGGACGTGCCACCCTCCCCTACAGAGCCACCAAGCTGAAAAGTCTGGTGGTGGCATTGCTGGTGGCCGCCCGTCACCCCCGGCAGACATCAGGACACTTCTCCCTCCCTCTTCCCCTTCCACGACCCCCTCAGATGGAGGTCAGGTTGGGAGCCGAGGCCCGCAGGGCCGCCACACACCTATTCTGGGCCTTGTTTTCCTTCTCCTCCATCTTGAGGTGGCACTGGCAGGTGGAGGCCTTGCTGTAGCTGACGGAGCGCTTGGTGGCCTTCTTCCACTTTTTCACCCTCTGCACGACCCGCTTGAAGATGAGGTAGAAGATCTCACAGACGGTGAGGACGATGCAGATGGAGGAGGCCCCGACCATGAAATAGGTGAAGACTCTCTTCTCTGTGGGCCGAGCGATGTAGCAGTCCACGGTATTGGGGCAGGGCTCCAGCTTGGAGCACTTGACCAGCCGCGGCAGGTCGAAGCTGTCCCACATCTTGTGCAGGAGGTAGAGGAAGAGGATCTCTATGACCAGCTTGAAGAAGAGGCTCAGCAGGTAGGTCCACCACAGCCCGCCATGCTTCTTGCCCGTGTTGCTGTAAAGCTTGGGGCAGTTCTCCCCATTCTTCTCCCGGTTCTTCTTCTCCCGGTCCTCCCGGTAGGCCACGTGCATGATGACCAGCAGGGAGGGACAAGTGACGAAGATGAGCTGCAGGGCCCACAGGCGGATGTGGGAGATGGGGAAGAAGTGGTCATAGCAGACGTTGGTGCAGCCGGGCTGCCGCGTGTTGCAGTCAAAGTCCTTCTGCTCGTCCCCCCAGACGCGCTCGGCCGCCACCACGTAGACCAGCACGCGGAAGACGAAGACCACGGAGAGCCAGATGCGGCCGAAGGCCGTGGAGTACTTGTTGACCCCGCTGAGCAGCGCCTGCAGCGTTTTCCAATCCATGGGGACTGGCGCTGGCGGCAGCCAGGGTCAGGAACCTGGAGAAAGAGCAGCTGGAGGACGCAGCAGGGCCCAGACCCTCGTAACCCCACTGACCTCCCAAATTCTCCCCAATCCGTTACTGGGGACGGGGCACGACCCCACTCGTGTACTCGTGGCCGACCCCACGGTGTCACGGTGGTGCTCAGATGTGACTCAAGCTCTCTGCATTTCCCTCTGATAGAGGCTTTGCCGTAAGAAACACTCAGCCTGGTAAAGTCCCTGCCACCTGCTGACCCCGATTGCGTGTGTTGGTATAAATTGGCAACAAAATCCCCCAGAATGGGCCAGGATAAACAAGGAGAGGCCGTGCCCTAGGAGGATGACGGGGCTGTGTGTGGTGCTGGGTGTTTCAGTGGAATAAAGCCTTAAGCAGAAAGCAGCCCCGTGAGCTGGCAGATCCCTTGGGATGGGGGCAGGAGGGGACCCTGCCTGTGCATTTCCAACCCCCATCCACATCCTCCTTCCCTGCCCAAAGGGGCAAGTGCTGATAGCCACCGGCACCACCCCTGCAGAGCATTTCCAGCCCTGTCCTGGCTGTGGGACACCCAGACACCGAGTGATGTGGGTGATCACCCAGGGCACGTCGCTGCGTGTGCCTGAGACACATCAGAGCCCTGGTATGAAGGAGGGGAGGCTTCGGGGAGCCCCACTGGGTGCCGTTAGTCACTTAGCGGGGGAAGCTCCCTGGCAGGAGAGGGGCTGAGCTGGCAGGGCTCCCCGCGGGGCACAGCAGGGAGGCACAGCCCTTCCCAAGGGGATGTCAGGCTCTGACCCTGCCGATCTCAGCCCCACTCAGGCCAGTTTCCACCTGGGGGAATTGGGCTAAACGGCTGCTGCGCCATGCTAAAGCTGAGAGCCCCAAGGGGAAGCAGCTGCAGCAGAGCTGGGGACTGCAGGACACGCGAGTTTTCTTCTCGTAGGCGATGTGCAAGGGAACCCAAGCCTGGGAGGGAGCAAAGCTGCTGAAAGCGAGAGCCTACATACGTCAGCCCGGCTGTCACCCCACTTCTAGGACAGTCAGTGGCCTGATGGCACTGCCGGCAGCCCTAAGGCTCTGTGCTGGCTGAAATCACTCCATGGCAGAGCCTGGGGCTGTCCCAGGTCCCCTGCCAGCCCTACAGGGGTCAGCCCCACTGCTGCGAGCCACAGTAGCCCCCCAAGATTGGCAACAGCTGCTGCCTGCGTGGCTGGCACAGCGGCAAGCTCAGCCCTGCAGGAGCCATGGCTCCAGTGGAGACGCTTCCCAGTATCACCTCCCCAACATTTCCACACTCCACACCCCAAAGAAGCGCTGCCCTTGCCAACCCAGCACCCTCCGAGACGTACCTGCAAGAGAATCCGGCTCCTTCCCCGCTTACCGGGGGCTGGGGGTCAGGAACTGCCCAGCTCGGGGCATGGCTGGTGGCACGATCACAGCCGGGTGTTCGGGGTCCCCTTGCTGCTCTCTTACATCCAGGCAGGGCTGCACAACGTGGCACGGTGTCCAGGGGCTGTGGGGAAGGATCAGAGCCTCGAGTGCTGCCCGGAGCCCGTGGGGCTGCCGAGAGCCCAGCCCTGAGGGTGTGCGTGGCCAACCTGTGCTGCTGGTGCTGGGACGCCCCGAGGAGCACAGGCCTGGGGTGCACGGTGCTGTGCCGGGGGTCCTGCAGCAGGGCAGTGCTTCTGCTCATCCCTGCACACCTCAGCACCACGTCTGAGCCCCGCAGAGCCTCCACCCCCAGCAGCACACACCACCGGGGTGGGGGCAAGCCCAGCCCTTCCTCCACATCAGCTGTAAGACCAGGAGTGGGGAGCTGCCACTTTCCCCTCTGCACCCAAAAGCTGCCGAGCACAAGCTGGAGCCCAGTCACCCCTTGCACACCCCACGAGGACCAGAGCCCCGTCTCCAGCCCCCCGGATGGCCACCTGCAAATCCCCCAAATTCCTGGGGCTCCATGGGTGACACCACCTGGCACCCACCTACCCAGCACCCACCCACCCAGCACCCACCTTCCCAGGCTCAGCCCGGTGCCAGCTCCAGCCATGGGTCCGCAGCAAGGGGCAGGAGGGAGAGGGCAGGGAGCTGAGCCCCGCGGGGCGTGGTGCTGAGCGTTGTGCAAGCCCCACGGCTCGGCCGGCGCTGGCTGGAGGCCAAGAGGAGCAGGGGCTGCTCTCCAGGTGTGCTGGGCTCTGCCCGACGTGCTGGTTTGCCTCCCCCAGAGCCCGGCTCCCTCGGCAGCACCCAGCGCCGCTGCGTGCCTGCCCGCTGCGTCACCGCCGGGTGCTGCCCCGCGTGGGTGCAGGGCGTTGGGCCCGAAAGTGCCTGGCTTCTGCCTGGGGTGCGAATGCATCAGAGAGGGGCTCTGCATCTTTCGGTCCCCAGCAGGATGGAGAAGCAGGGATGGAGTGGCCTTTGCTGCTCCGTAGGGTGCCGTGCCCCCTTGCATCGCTCCCCTGGGTGCATGTGTTCGGCTGTGGGTGCAGCACCATGCACAGCCCCGTGGGGCAGGGTCCCCAGCACCGCTTGTGGGGTCTTGGCATGGCTCAAAGTCCCCATCTTGAGCCACCACATCACTGCATCCTCAGCCACGGCTGTAACACACCTCCCACCTGCGCTCCCTTAGCATGGATAGGTTCATGTCCCCCCAAAACCTCCTCCCCGGCTATGGTAGAGGTACCTGCCCTGCGGGTACGTGGCCAGAGGGAGCAGGACTTCCTTTTGGAGCGGGGAAACCCTTTCCTGGTTGCGTGTTCTGCAGCCTCCCTGCGTGCTCGGGTCTCCTCCGCAGCGCTGAGCGTGTGTGTCGGGAGGAGACGGGTGAGTTGTTCTGCTCCTAGCACCTGGGTGAGTCTGGCAAACAGCTCCGCGGAGCTGATTGTCTGCGCACATGCACACACACGCTCAGGTTGAACAACAAAGGCAGGTCAAATCCTGCAGAGAGAGTGATTCCTCCCCCGGTGACACCCGTGGCTCCTTCCAGGCGATACCCCTTCCCTGGGGGCTCTGAGCACAGCGAACCCGCAGCAGTCCCACATTGAGCAGGGGGCTGGGAGCCAGCACTAGGGCTCTCACCGTATCCTGGCCCCAGCCGCACCCGCTGCGAGTGGGGCAACAGCAGCGGTTGCTAAGAATCACAAATTATGCAACTCTAACCTATTTTTAAAACGCTTTTGCCTTACTAATACTGAGAACATCGGTATCTCCCACCTACGGCATCCTACGGCCACCGCCCTGCTCCATGCACTGCTGGCCGGGACCTTTCCCAAAGGCTGCCACAAACCCGAGGGCAGCGACCGGCTGCAGAGAGACCCTGCCCTGCTGACCACGACCCGTCCCATCCTTCGGGGACCTGGGACATGTCCCTGAGGGGAACTGAGCACTGGGGGGCTCCTAGGAGGCCAGACCTCCATGTCCAGGCAGCTAAGTGCCACCGAGCGTCCCCACTGCACCTCTCCCCGCTGAGCAGCCCCATTTCACATCTCTGCTGACTACATGGCCTGGGCAGGAATTTGGTGGCCCAGGCAGGAATGTGTTTCTGCTCACCTGCCTTTTACCTGGCCTTGTGGCTGGCCCGAGGCTCCTGCTGGCATCCGAGGCTCCTCTGGCACGCCCCGGGCTGAGCACCCTGTGGCGATGGAGCCCCGCGGGTGCTTGATGCTCTGAGAGGTTTGCTCAGGGCACTCGTGGCAGATAAGGAGCTGCTCCCTGAGATGCCGGAGCCCTGCAGCATTTTTTTTTGCACCAGGAGGTCAAACAAAGCTGGAGGAGGAGGGCAGGCTGGGGACATGGTGGGGAGCAGGAGGCCAGGGAACCCCAAGAAAACCCCGGTGGGGTTCCAGGGCACCTCTCCCTGTCCTGTTGGCTCACTCCTGCACCTGCACAGCCGCAGCACCACGGCACCTGCCTGCAGTCCCTGTGCCAAATCTGCAGCCCTGAGCCCTTCCTTTATTTTCCCTCTTCTCCCAAAGGCAGAGGGGAAATGGCACTGGGGTGCTAGGTGGGAGTCTGGGGGCGCACAGCCCAAACGTGCAGCCGCAGGCACCCATTTCCCCACATTTCCTGGAGCAGCCAGGAACCCACCCAGCCCTGGGCACCTATCGGCAGGGTCAGGAATTTGAGCTATTTTGTAGCGAGCCACAAGCCGGGGCAGGAATTTGGGGGCTGTGGCCTGAGAGACGGAAGAAGCAAGGAGCTGAGAGCCACCCAGCAGGTCTGGTGCCTTCCTGGGGCAGCCCCTGCCTCCCTCCCCCAGACCCCATAGACCCTGGCAGCCCCTCGGCTGCAATTTGGGTATTTCAGGAGGGGCTGCATGCCCTGGGGCTCCCAGCCTGGCTGGTGATGTGCTACAGTGAGAAAGTTCAGCGCCTTTTGACACAGACAGATTTCCCCCACGGCACTTGGGTGGGGAAGGAAAACACCCCGTGTGTCGCAGCGCTCAGCCGGGTATTTGGGCGGCCCTGCTGTGAGCAAGTCTCCCATCCGTGGCCAGGCTTTGCCATGGTCTGAGCAGCAGGATTGCTCCTAGTCCCTGCAGGAGGGTTCCCTTCCCCTCCTTGTGCCTGAGATCTCCCTGTGAATCATGCCCAAGCTGGAGTGGGGCCCTTGGAGTCTGCCCAGATCCATTGGCATCCCTGGGAGGGTCCCCGAGTGCCCCGTCCTCCCTGCGTGTCCCCGTCGGTGCCACACGTGAACGCTGAAAACCCCCAGTGACTTCCCGTGGCCTGACCTCGGGTCCTCCATAAAGGAAATAATCGAGCGGCGGAGCACGCAGCCTCCGAACGCCGTCGGAAAAAAATCTCAAGCTCTCTTTGAAAGGGTCTTGAATTTGCGAGATGGAAGCGTTCGGTTGCCTGCCAGGGCTGGGACCTGGCCCGTTTTTTTATCCATGCCCCGGCCACGTCCCCGGGGCCCTGACCTTCCCCACGGGTGCTGGGGGTGTGGGAGTCACCGGGAGCGTGGGAGCGGGGCGGCCGCTCGCTCCAGCAATTTGGCCATAAATCAGACGATTTCTCCTCAATTCCCAGCAAGCAGGAGGATTTCAGACCATGAAGAAACACGACCCTGCTGGGAAGGACGGGCTGCCCTGCCCAGCACCACAGGGCATGTGAGCCCCTCTGTGTCTCTGGTTCAGCTGGGGTTAGCAAAGCTTTTGTTTTAAATCTTCCCTCCCCAAAAAATCATGGGACTTCTGGGCATCCCTCCCGAGCAAAACCAGTCCCCCGGATGATGATGCAAAGAGTAGAAAACACTCAGCTTTTATTCCAACATCCCCCAGCTTATTTATCGTGCCACCAACATGGGTCCTGCCCATCGCCACGCGCTCTGCGCCCCACCGAGGTGCCACAGTCCCCAGGTCCTGCAGTGTGATCTCGGCTCCCTTTGGTGCAGAAAAACACCTGAGATAACAAGATCAGTGCCTGTGCTGGTAGCCTGGCTGATGCCAGCCACTGCTGAGCCTAATTCTGGATGGCGCAAGGCACCCGGAGCTTTGCAGAGCTGCCGCAACGCTTGCTCGGGGCGAGATAACACAGCCCAGCAAGTGGCACCCGGACGGTCAGGTCTCGTCTGTGATGTCTGGAAGTGGGGCAGGGGTGTTTGGAGCTGGGCTGAGCTGGATGCGTCCCATTCCTGCAGCGATTATCGCTTCCAGCTGGGCAACACCTCTGGGTTTTGCCGTTGGACGACAGCCTCGATCAGCAGCAGTCAGCCCTGAGTGAAAACAAACAGCCCAGCCCCAGCTCTTCAAACGAGAGGCGAGGGCTCTCACACAAAGAACGGCTTCAGTCCTCTGACACTGAAGGAAAATTTTCCGGTGGATGATCCGGCAAGGAGAGAGGGCAGAGGGAAGCCAGAGATCAGAACAAATTCCCCTAAAAGAGGTGGAAGAAACCCACCTGTACTCACCGCATTCATTACCCCAAGGGTCTCCAAAATCACCAGTGTTGGCTCAAGGAGCTGCTGGGTGCTCAGGGGGTCCCAGGCTGGTGGCAGAGCCCCCCCCCCATGCTTCCCCACCCTGTGTGTGGCCAGGCTGGTGGCCCCCTGTGGCTCCTGGCCATGGGGGTCCCTCCACATCCCCCCGGCACACTGGGGCTCAGCTTTGCAGAGGCAGGGGCTCGGGTGAGATCGGTTTCGGGGGCTCAGACAAGACCAAGGTCAGGGGCTCAGAGGTGCTGCAAAGTGCAGGAGCTGCCGTGGGGGGCTGCTGAGCAAAGACCCGCTCTGAAGGGCCGGGTGCTGGCATCCCCCCCGTGCCTTTTCTTGGCAACAAACACAGCGAGCACCGGGGCTTTCTGTGCACATGGCAAAAATAATAATTGCACCCTCTAAATACAGCGAAACCAGTAACAGATCGAGCTGCTTGTTCGATGTTAATGTTACTTATGAGTGCATTCGCCATGAAATTATTGTTAATTATTCATTCCAGCTAATGTTCAGTTACTGTTGATGGCCTTAGAAATTGCAGAGCAGCCTGAGTCACGGCAGAACGCGACATATTACAGCAATAAACGAGATCATATTCTGCCATTTAATGTTATTGTTTAATCAATGGCTGGGGTGTTTTTCCTCTCCTTTATTTGCCTGTTTCACTCGGGTGTTTTTCTCTGGCTTTGCAGGGAGAGCCAGCAGCCCACAGCGGGCTCTCCCCACCCAGCTCCTTGCCCCACGCTGCCTTGCCAAGCGCACGCTCTTGTCCCACTCGGTCATCAAGAATTTATTATTTTTTTATAGAGACTGTGATTAGAGGGGGCTAAAGAAGCTGTCCACCTTGCTCAGTGCTGTGGCCCGCATCTGGGTCCTGGACACGAGGATGAGCCCCTTGCTGGCGGTGGGGACAATGTGTTTCAGGGGGTGACACGGTCCTTGCTCCCCTCTCGGCACAAGATCTCCCATGCAGTTTTGTGCCCAAAAAGCAGGAAAACCACCAATTTGACTGTCATGTCGTAGAGACAGAAAGTTTTATTCACTGCAGGGATACACTCAGGATTGGCTATGCCAGCCCCAGCTGGACAGGCTCAGGCTCAGCGCTCGGTGCTGGCTCCCAGCTGCCATGGAGCTGTCTCGTCCCTCACCTTGCAGCGCCTGCTGGCTCTCAGAGAGCACCCACATGTCCTGCAGCACCTCCTTTTACCCTAAATTCATCAGAATAATGCTAAGCGCCTTGCCCCTAGGAGGGAAGAGGCTGACCCCAGCTCCATGGTGCACTCCCACGACCAGGACTTTGAAGGGTCCCACCTGGAGGAGCAGGGGCTGGGGCAGGCACGTGGCTATGGGCAGCCCTAGGGAGGAACCTGCTCCTGCTCAGGCTTGGGGACGGAGGATGTGGGGACGGAGGTCGTGGGGACGGAGGCTGTGGGGATGGGGGCTGTGGGGACGGAGGCCGTGGGGATGGGGGCTGTGGGAATGGGGGCTGTGGGGATGGAGGTCGAGGGGACAGAGGCTGTGGGGATGGGGGCTGTGGGGATGGAGGTCGTGGGGACGGAGGCTGTGGGGATGGGGGCTGTGGGGATGGAGGTCGTGGGAATGGGGGTGGTAGGGATGGAAATCGTGGAGATGGAGGTCGTGGAGATGGAGGTCGTGGGGATGGAAGCTGTGGGGATGGAGGTTTTGGGGATGGAGGTCGTGGGGATGGAGGTCGTGGGGATGGGGGCTGTGGGGTTGGAGGTTTTGGGGATGGAGGTCGTGGGGATGGAGGTCGTGGGGATGGAGGTCGTGGGGATGGGGGCTGTGGGTTGGAGGTTTGGGGTTGGAGGTTTTGGGGATGGAAGCCGTGGGGATGGAGGTTGTGGGGGGCTTGCAGTCCACCGGGGGGATACCCTGCCCCTCTGTGTCCTCAGGCTCGGCGCAGGACAGTGCGCAGTCCCGGCTGTGCTGGCAGCTCTCCCCGCTGCGGGCCTGGAGGCACTCACAGCACCTCTTGCCGATCAGGTAGGTGGCCTCGACCAGGCTGAGCGCGATGCAGATGCAGGTGGTGACCACCATGAAGATGGTGAAGATGTTCTTCTCGGTGGGCCGGGAGATGAAGCAGTCCACGGTGTTGGGGCACGGGGGCAGCTCGCACTTCACCACGGAGGGCAGGGTGTAGTTCCTGTACAAGCGGTAGAAGATGTAGAGGAAGATGATGTCCACGCCGGCCTTGAAGATGAGGCTGAGCAGGTAGGTCCACCACAGCCCACCCCGTTTCTTGCCGGGGTTGGGGTAGAGGCAGCGGTAGTCGCTCCCCGCGGCGGCCCGGCGCCTCTGCTGCTTGGCCTCGCGGTAGGCCACGTGCATGATGACCAGCAGGGAGGGACAGGTCACCAGGATGAGCTGCAGGGCCCAGAGGCGGATGTGCGAGACGGGGAAGAAGTGGTCGAAGCAGACGTTGGTGCAGCCGGGCTGCCGCGTGTTGCAGTCGAAGTCCTTGTGGTCGTCGCTCCAGACGCGCTCGGCCGCCACCACGTAGACCAGCAGGCGGAAGATGAAGACGAGGGAGAGCCAGATGCGGCCGAAGGCCGTGGAGTACTTGTTGACCCCGCTGAGGAGCCCCTCGAATACCCCCCAGTTCATGGTCCCCTGGTCCTGTTAGCTAATCTAGGAAGAGAGAGGACACGGTGACAGCGGCTGTCCCTAAAAGCAGTCGGGACGTCCCCATCTGAGCAGCTGCGTTCCCCAAGGCACCAAAACATGCACCAAGGCACCAAAATGTGCCCCAAGACACCGAAACGTGCCCAGCACTGACCTAAGGCCAAGGAATCCCCCTGCAGGGCTCCGTCCCCATCTGTAGGGACTTGGGGACCATGCAAAGTCCTTTATCCACATCCCACCATGGTCCATGCCCAGCTAAGCCCCTCCGTCCTGTGCCATCCTCCCCATCTCTCGCCTGGCTGCCCAGCTATTTGTTTTATTTCTTTTTTCTTACGTTGCCGGGCTCGGCACAACAAACAGGAGCAGGCCAGGGCGTGACTCAGCCGGCAGCACCGCACCGCCACGTCGTCCTCTCCCATCGCTGGAATCTGACAGCTCCTCCGCTCCCCCCGCCCCGCAGCACAGCACCAGCCCAGCACCAACCCTGCACTATCACCGAATTTCATCAGCTCAGATAATCTCAGTCCATAGGAGCCCCAGGACCCCGAACAGTTTGACCCTGGCATGCATCGACCCTGATAAACCCGCTGCACGGAGCAGGGCTCTGGCCAAGCAGGTACTCCTGGGGCTGTTTGGCACCAAGTCTCCTCAAACAACTTCTCTATCAATAAAATAACAGGATTCACCCTTGCTGGCAGTGCCACACGGATCCTGCTTGCTCTGCACAGCCCGTGCTGCCCAATACCCATGCTTGTGGGGCCTGGCCCATAAGGTGAGGACCCCCCAAAACGATCCCATACACATACCTGGAGCTCGCTGCCTCGATCCACGGGGTTGAACAGAGCCAGGGAGGCTCGGACTCAGGACTGGGGACACAAAATCCAGCTTTCACCTTCCCGTGCAAGCTCGTAGCAGCAGCCCAGGGAGCGCCGGTCGCCCTGCGGCACATCAAGCTCAGCCAGTGCGCACCCACGGTGGGAGACCCCCCCCAGCCCACCCTGCCTGCCAGGGATGGGGGCTGCTGCAGGGCATCCCCCAGCCCCCGGGGCTGTCCCTTACCTGGGGATGTCCCAGCAGAGGCCAGGCCGCCGCTCGCTCGGTGCTCGCCCGCGGCAGGAGCGCATTGCCCGGTGCCGAGGTGCCGCGTGAGTCACCCTGGGGCTCCTGGGAGCGAGGAGGAGATTCCCAGGGGAAGGGACAGGCTTCGAGGCAGCTCCCTGCATGTCCCGTCAGGCCAAGCACTGCCCCGCTGCGTGGGACCCAATCCTGCACCACCACTGGGGAAGGGCAGGGGCTCGGGGCCGCCTGTCCCCGGCTGCCCTGGGGACACCAGGGTCCCCCAGCCCGGTGGCAACCTGGGTGTCACTTCCCTGTCCCCATTTTCACTCGCTTGGACCCCCAGGGGGTGACGTGGCCAAAGCCCCGGGAGCCAAACCCCACCCTTCGTAATCCCCTTTTACTCAGACTTTGCACCGTGCCAACGCTTTAATAAGAGCGTTTTTCCCTCCCTGCCTTCTGATGTGTAGGTGGCAGCTGATTATTTCGCTGGGAATTAATTAACCACCTTCTCCACGCTCCCCATACCTGTGCTGCAAGCCGGTGCAAGTCCCCTTCCCGTCACCCCCATCCCAGAGCCCAGGACCCCCCCAGGACGGGGACCCCCTCCCACAGGAGCCAATTTCTGAGGCCTGACCCCCCCCCCAGGGTACCGTGGGCGCAGGGATCGGGTGGGTGGGGGTCCAGGGAGCGGCTGCTGCTGTGTGGGGTGCGAGAGCTCACGTAGAGCCCGAGCCATCTGAGGAGCAAACACACGTTTCATTTGCAATTCCGCTGGGTTTTACAAAAAAATGAGAGAAACAAATCTAAACAGCTGTAAAGTAAATTACCACTGTTTGCCGATGGCTCCAGGGAAGAGTTCTGCAGTTTCAAATCAAACAAGCCCCTTTTTTTTCTTATTTTACTTTTTTTTTTTAACCCGCTGGTGCAGTGGCTGTGATGGGAAGGGGGCTCCCAGCCCCCCTGGGAGTGGGATCCCAGGGCAGCCCCCTCGTCCCACAGCACCCAGCAGGGACCCCGTGCCCCAGGCTTGCAGGTATCCAAAGGGACTCTCACAGCTTGCTGCTTTCTGGGTTAAAACCCTCTCTTTTGGGCAGCCACGTCAGGTGGATGTCCTGTGCAAGCAGGGAAGGGATGGGACTGTTGCATTGTCCCCGAACAGGACAGCTGGATGCCCATTAGGGATGGTGGCATCCCACAGCTGCCTCTCCCGCTTCAGTTTGCTGCGGATTTGTTTTTTAGGGGCACGGAGCTGCCCCAGGCTGCACCCTCTGCTGGAGGAAAGCAGCTCGGGGCCGGGGAGGTGGCACGCCGACGGCAGCACTTCGTCTTGCAGGAACGAGCCCCAGTTGTGCACTTTCACTACCGCGTGAAATATTAACAACGCTTTGCATTTATATAGCGTCATTCATCCCGCAGCCACCCAGCGAGCTCCTGGCATGAATCACACGGCGGAGGGAGCCCTGCGAGGCGGTGGGTGCGCGGTTCTGCCCATCTTCCTGCGGCACACACCGAGGCACGGCGCTGTCCTCTGCCATAGGTGAGGCCGCCGGAGCTCCTTTCCCCCTTATTAAGCAGCATCCAGTGCTGCCAGCACAGTTTTGGGAGCTATTTTGCCTGGATTAGAAATGATATTCAAGGAAGGAAAAGCATTTGGTGATGGTGCTGTGAAGGGCAAGCACCTCCTGTTTGGCAAGGTCCCCAAACCCCAGGGACTCCACAGGGCACCCAGCAAAGGTGGGTCCTGAGCTCCCTTCTTCACTTTTACCCATCTGAAACCACCTGTGGTGATTGATTTTTTTTAATTTTATTTTTTAAAGAAGCCAAGCTAGGGAAGTCTGAGGGGATACAGCCCAAATACCTGCAGCCAGCAGCTGCTCCTGGGCGGGCTGGGGGCTGGCACAGAGCTGCTGCCCCCTCCCTGGTGCTGTGAGGATGGTGTAGGACACTGTGGGACACCAGGGAAATCCCTCAGCACACCAGCAGCTGGCCCGGCATTGACCAGAGGATTCCCACAGCATGAAAAAGCAGGCAGAGTACCGGTGGGGAAAGGCTGTTTTCATCTTATTAAAGAGCCTCGTATTTAAACCGTCCTTCAGGTCTGCAGCACGAGATGATTGCAAAGGCTTTTCCACACCAACTCAGCGGGAATCGCTTCTGCTTTCAGCGCTGGTGCACGCAGATGCTTTTTAGTAGGGCAGAATCCCATTATTGATGCTGGATAAATCCAGCAAAACAGGCTGGGGGGGGAATTATGGAGTGTAAACGGCGCCAGGCTCCGAGCTCGTGGTGCTCTCCGGACCCTGGTGGCCATCCGTCAGCACGGTGGGAAGAGGCAGGTGGGGAGAAATGATGGAAAATGGGGACTTCCTGAGGAAACCCAGGTCCTGAGAGCAGAATGGGGCATGGTCCCACACCAACCTGCGAGTGGGGTCGCCGGGTGCACGGGGTGGCCACCCTGCTGGCATCGCCCGATGCGTTTGTTATGCGAAGAAGGCGGCACCTTGTTTGCAGACAATTAAAAAAAAGCAAACAGATTAGTGAAAGGCAAACACGTGGAGCTGGCTGGATGTTGCCTAAATCCCTGGGAAAGCCGGTGAGCATCCAGAGCTGGTGCAGCCGAATTGAGCGGCGAGGTGCTCTGCGCCTAGCTCAGCCCTGCTGCTGCTGCCCCCAGTGCTGCCCTGCAGGAGGCTTTCACCTACCCTGGGGCTCCCATGGGTGGTCAGGACCTCAGCTCGCTGCATATACCTTAAGATCCTTGCAAAAAGCCCAGGGCCACCTGGGAACCCCAGTGGGAACCCCAAAGCAGTGGCAATAGGGCTTCAGCCCCGTTTTAATGGATCCCAAAAGGCCCTGGGAGGTTCTCACCCAACGCGCTCCACTCAGTGCTCCTGGAGCTGGGGAAGGAGGGAGCCCACGATTAAAAGGAATGGTGAGGAGGTGGCACTGCTAATGAGGCTGACGGCAATTAAAGACCTGGCTGGAGGAGCAGCAGGGTGAGGGCAGTGTGCTAATGAGGAGGGAGCTGCAGCATGAAGGTGCTGAGGTTCGGTAAGCAGAGGGTTTGCAGCAGCCCCGTTTCTGCAGCAGTTGTGCCCTGGCAACCTCTCCACGGCACGGCCTGGTTGCAGCCATCTCACACAGCCAGGCCCCCTTCGTCTGCTAATATTTATAAGCGTGTTTGGAGGGAGCAACCTCATCTCTAGTGAGAGCTTAATTAATCACGGAATCAAGCGGACTGGGTGAGGCAGTTTGCTACCGAGGAGATAAATTCGCACGGTCACTGGCGGCCGAGGATGGAAGCGAGGGCAGTGCTGCCCTAAATCACTGCAGCTGATGGAGAGAAGGGCACGAGGCCAGCAGGGTGCTGAGGAATGCTGTCCTGTGGAAGCTTGCTGTGTGCTGGAAGCACATCAGGGGCACAGAGGGGGATGCTGCTGGGGCACATCGCCCCTGCCAGGGCAGATCTACGAGCTCCCAGTGTGTCCAGACAGGTCCCTGCAGTGATGGCAAGCAAAGCTCAGGGCCACGGGCAGTTATCGGATCCTAAAACCCAGGTAGAGAGGGGTAGGCATCCAGGGGTGCTTTCAGAACAGGAACAACCCAGCCTTCAGACCCTGCTGGTTGTCGCAAAGGGGCCGGGTTATTTCTGTATTGGGCAGTTTGGCAAAATAATCGTCGTGCGAGCAACATCTTTGCCCTTGCTGCTGACCTTGGCAGCGTCCGAATGGCCAACCCGCGGGTCAAAGTCTTTATATCCTATTACCAGCCTCCTGAGTCATGCCTGTCCCCTGGCAAGTCGTATTATTTGGAAATGGCAGCTAAATGGGAAGGAGGTCGTGCTCCCAATACGGTGACGATAAGGCATGACAGCACTTTCCTGAGTGATTAAGCCCCAGGTGATGTTGGGGCTACAACACAAACGGCGGAAGGCTGCGAGGCTTTAATCACCCCGGGCACGCCGTCGGATCCTCACCATCCATCCTGCTGGGGTGAGCTTTTATTGCAAAACGGAAGCGATAGGATAAAAAAATAATCAAACCCAACCTGTGCACCGACCGGTTAGTTATCCAGGCTGCAGGTACTGCTTTTAATAACCACCCGGAGCAGCCCGTTGGCCCTCCAAGCTCCTTCTGCCATAAATAAGGGTTGGTGCCACCACGCAGCCGGCCGGGGCTGTGGCCAGACACTAGATGGCATTGGAAGAACGCGCCGTGCGGCGCCAGCACCTTCCCCGGCTTCCCCTGGAACAATCTGGCAAAGCAGAGCAGAAAACTCAGGATGACGGAGCAGAAAATGTCTGTGCCTGGGCGAGGACGCGAGCTCACCTTCAGCCCTCGCTCCAACCTTGCGCTGCTGCCCCGGGGGGAGCGCGGCGGCCAGGCAGCGCTGCGGGAGCTCACGGCGCGTGGCCTCCGAGCTGAGCTCACGCAGAGCTTGGCGTGGGGTTATTTATTCTCCGAGGAGCTGCAGGCTGGACCTTGCACGGCCGCTCACGGCTCCCTGCGGCTCAGCTGCCCCTGGCCGCAGCAGGAGCGCTGCAGCTGCCTGTCCTGGGGGAATTTTGCCCCCGACATCTGTGCTCCAGGAGCACCGCAGCACCAAGTCAGGTCTGGCTCGCCCTGGGAGCCTCCTTTCACCTCCCAAATTTGTGCTGCAGGAAGGTGAAGGGCCGGTGCTGGCTTTGGAGGAGGCTTTCTGGAAGCAGCTGCTCTCGGGCTCTGCTCGGTTCACATAAACCCAGGTGCCCTGCCCGAGCCATGGCGAGGAGGAGCGGGGCTTTAAAGCAAGCTCAAAGCCCAAAGCTGCTGGGGGACGCATCCGATGCAGGGTCTCAGGGCACTGGTAACCCCAGAAGAGCAGATCCCCGCTGCCACATGCCATCCCTCTGGCCCCAAAGGGCTGCTCATGGGATGATTTGCCTTGAAATTTGCCCCCACCAGGGCATCCCAGTGCTTCCATCCCAGTGCCAGCATTTTGCCCCGGGGCAGTGCTTGCAGCCACCCCGCTGTTTCATTCCAGCTGTTGACCTCCCTGCCCCAATCAATCCCCCCTCCACAGCAGCCCACCAAGCTCCAGGTGCCCCCCGTGCCTCCCTCTCCCCCTCGCCTGGCTGTTTATTGAGCACATCACCATTTATTCATCTCTCTGCAGCATCCCCGAGGCCACCGCAGGAGGGACCCCCTCCTGGGAACAGCCTGGGGAAATGCTGAACGTCCCAGCACCAAAAAGCCAGCTGGCAGCAGTGCCCCTGTGAGCTGACATCGCCAGCCAGAGCTGGAGCCTGCCTAAAAGCACCAGGATAAGCCAGGATCGTTCCTCTTCCAACTGCTCCCCATCACCTGTCAGCCTCCTCCCGCACCAAGCGATCAGAGGGACGGCGTCTCCTCTCCTACACTCCCCCAAATCAACTCCCGAATCCCCGCTGAGCCGAGCTGACTTTTGCATTTTGTCTCCTAAATTATGCATCGCGCAGGAAGTCAAACAGCCACAATATGGCTCTTGATTGCAGCTCGCTCTCTTCCAGCCAGCCCCTTGCTCGCAGCCCGCGTCTCCCCTCCGCGGTGTCAGCAGGCAGATGGCACAGCACCGCTCGCAGCCCCCTGCTGCCTTCAGATCCCCCAAAAAGCCCCCCCAGCCTTCTGGAAACGTGGCTGCTTCAAAGCAGCATGGCCAGGCTTCACCTTGCTCTGCTCGCACAGGTGAGAGGTGCTGGGGAGCGTTGCAGCATTCTTCCAAAGGCTAAAAGCTTGCTCGCACCCTAGGAAAAACACCAGACCAAAAATCCCTCTCAGCCTGCTTGGCTTGCTCGTGCCGCTCCCGGGCCCTCCGGGCAGCAAATTGATGAACTGAACTCTGAAAAGGGCCCAGACTTGGCTTGCGGCAAGAGACTTTGCATCGTTGTGTCTGAAAATGTCAGCACTTTAATTAGCCGCCATCTGAAGCTGGAGCGGCTTTGCCTGGCAAATCGGCGAGCAAACTGGTTTGCCCCTTTCCGATTTTAGTCCGGGCTGAGAAATTTGTCCAAGCTGACCTTTTGCCTCTGAGATCCTCCCCAAATTCCCATCCCATATTGGCATTTCCTAAAAACAGGATAAAACCTGCAGCGCTCATTCCCCAGCCTGGCATTTCTGGGGAACATTTACGCATTTTCACTCCGGTAAATGCCCTTTGGAGGGGCCTTGAGTGTCTGCTTCCTCCCCTGCCTGCTCCCACTCTCTTCCCGACGTTTCAGGCCCCTTCTCCTTGCTCCCTTGCCTTTTCTGGCACTTGTTGGCTCTTCCAAACCCCGTGGCTGTAGGTTTTGCCTTTCATCTCCTTTGGACACCGCTGCCAGGTCACCTTCACGTAAAGGGAAAAGGCAGAGCTGAAGTTCTCCCAGATTGAGGTGTTTCCTGCTCACAGGTTTTTAGTGCACCCGTTAAATCTCCTGCCTTAACCACCCTTTATATTTCGGATTTTTTTTCTGTATCTGTAAGGCTGCCAGAGCCATAACTTCCACTCCAGGATAATTTCTTGCTCTGAAGGATGCAGTGAATTTCTCCACAATTTGCTGGCCGTCGGAGCACGCTCTCCAGGTGGGTTCTGCTGGGCAAGTATTGGATTGCCGCGGCTGGAGATGAAGCTTCGAGCCTCCTTATGCTGTGTGTGTGGCAAATTAATGAAAGCAAAGGCAGAAAAGCACCTGAAAAAAAAGAAAAAATACAGGGAAGTCAGAGGCCACAGAGCCCCGTCGCGGCTGCTGGCTTTGGAAATCTCGGTGCTAGGGCACTACAATGCCTCTCAGGGCCCCAATAATCCAGGATGTCTGTGAGCAGAAGCCACCAGAAGCCACTCAGCCCTTCCAAGGATGCTCTTAAAGCTGAGTTTAATGTGAGAAATGCCACCAGGATGGTCTGCAGATGTGAGCAGTGATGGCTGTGCTGTGCCTCGCTCCTGGAGGACTCGCACCACCAGAGCCAGGACGTCCAGCACCGTCTGCTCCGCCAGCCCTGCCACCCTGCCTCCTGGTGCCCAGCAGCCTGGAGAAGGGTTCAAAGCAGATACGGAGCCAGCAGCTCCGAGCCATCCCTAATTACTGATCTAATTACCGCCTGCACACGGAGTAGCTCAGCCCTCGCAGCGTTCTCGGTGATTGCCATCACAAAGAGCCACGCGGCTGGGGGCTGCAACGTGCTCGGGGACGTTGGCTTTGTGATTTGGGACAGTGCCTCCTGCGAGAGCGGCAGGCTGAGCACCACCACCCAGCACCACGCCGTCCAGAGCCCTCCCAAAACGTCAGAGCAGCAGCCGGTCCCCAAAAAGCCGGAGTACCAAGCGCCGCGTTCCTCGCAGCCTCGCAACTCCTCGAGGCTTGGAGGAAGAAGAGCGGGATCAAAGCATCCTCCCCGCCTCCCCGCTCATTGATGGAGAGCCCGGAGCCTTGGCCTCGCCGTGCCCTGGGCTTTGGTGGAGTGCGACACTCATCGGCAGGCAATTACGGCTGGAAGAAAGCGGGGGCAGCTCGCGAGCCGGCCGCCTTTCATCTGCACCCCACCGGCCGCCGCCTGCCGCTCGCTATTCTTATCCCTCCGGATCAAGGCGAAGCCTTTCCTCCGCCTGCCCTTGATGCCGGCGGCCCCGGCGTCGCGCGGGCATGGTGGTGCAGCTGCGGGGCATGACCCCGCCGTGGCGGATTTCAGGTTCGGGGAGCCTGGAATTGTACGGGCAGGTGTGGAGTCGTGGCAGGTCTCGCACGCCGAGGAGGATCAGCCTTGGCTCACGCTTGGTGTGGGAATCACAGATCCCCTCAGATGGCCACGGGCAGTGGAGATGTGTCCGTGTTGGCACCAGAGGTTGTGCTCTAGGAAGAGGGGTTCTGGGAGGAAATTTTGGTCACCGGGGTTTAAAAATCCCCCCGATTTGTTCTCCTGAGAGAGACTGAGTCCCTTTAGTCCTTGGGCAACTCTGCCCCAGGCTCTAGTCCTTGTGAGAGAAGCGAGACCCCGTGGGTTACGGTGCCACGATGTCCCCTGGGGCTGCCGCCTGCCGTCCTTCGGTACCGACAAAGCCGAGCGAGCAGAGCTGGGACCCACGAAAGCCTGGGAGTGACCAACCTCACCTGGTGATGCTCACTCCTGTCTGCAACCAGAAGGCTCCGTCTCAGGCTTGGCTCTCTCCAGTCCTTACAAACCTGCAGGAATTAACCAGATCCCAGCTCCGCACAAACTCAGAGTGACCACCGCTAATTTCGGAGAGGAGGAAGAACCGGGCGGGCGCAGCCAATTCCCACCGCGTCGGTGAGTGCAGGACCCATCCGCTGGCAGGATCCATCCCAGAAGCAGCCCCAAAGGTTCCTGCAGAGGATGCGCTGTGTTTGGGGAGCTGGCACCGATCTCTCCCTGGCACCAGGGACTGCGTGCTCCATCCTCTCACTCGCCTCTTTCCCTTTAGGGTTTTAGAGCTTGTGGACACCCAGCTCGTGGCATCCTGGGGATGCTTCAGCCTCCGGGGGAGCTGCTGAAGGGGAATGTGCCCGTGGAGAGCAGGGTGGCTCGCACCATCTTGCTGCAATCAGTGCAGCCTTGGACACTTAACCTGCTTCCACCTCTCCTGCGCACAAATACAGTTGTTGAAATTCTTCCATTTCCATGACATTTGAGAAAAAAAAAATAAAATCTGCCTCGCCTCATTGGAAGGTTCCCTTACTCTACATTATGTTAGGGGGAAATTAAAGCAAAGGCTATTTTTTACCTATGACATTGGGAAATAAAGGTCACTGGGCCCCCGCCGCACACAGCCCAGAGAGGGGGGCAATGCTGAACTGGAGCTGGCGGACTGCTGAGGGAAGGATGACAGCCCAATTTATGCATCGCTCTGTATTTTTGCTGGAAAAAGTCGGGCGTGCAGTGGCCTCCCCACATAGTGGCCTCCATCGGAGCCTGCTGCTCTCAGCATTTTGGTTTCTTCCACCTGTAAAACCGCAGTTAATGTGGTTTTCAGTGTAGAAAAAATGTGGTTTTCACCGTGGGATGGCAGGAGCAGGGGACCTGGGCACGTGCAGGACGGTGCCACCGCCACCTCCCGATGTCCCCGGCTGCGCAGCGCAGGGCTGGACGCCTGGCACGGCCCCAGCAGCCTGCTCCTTTTCTTTTCCTGGCTATTTTTATCCTCCTCCCAGTGACAGATTGAGGGCTTCAAGAACAGCCCCGTGAACTCTCTCCTGCTTCCCCGCCATGGAAATTACTGCACAGCGGTTCAAAATGGGAGAGCAATTTGCAAAACAAATAAGTCTCCGATTAGCTAACAAGCGGCAGGCTGACCTTACAGGGACCCTTTCATTAGGAGACACTTATTCCCTGATACTTCTCTATAGAGCACCGATTAACTGCGTTGGGATGGAGGGAGCTACTTCACACTGTTTTAATGAATTAAATATACGCCCCTATTTGGCTCTTAATGTTAAAAAATATTAAGTACGGTAATTGTCACAATCCCGAAGCCAGTCAGCTCTCCACCCAGCAGTTCATCTCTGCTTCCCCCTTCCCACCACAAAGTTTAATCTCTTAATGTGCTGCTCGTGTCACAGCGCTTCCCTCCGTTAATGCCAGCCCATTAAAACGCACGGCTCTGTCCAGCTGGGTGAAAGAGGACGGCTGCAGCGGAGCAAAGGAGAGGCGCAGATGATCACAAGTTGTCGGGGAGCTCGGCAGCTCTCTGGCTCCAGTTTGCTTAGGGCAACGCAGGACACGGGGCTGTGCTCCAGGTCCTGCCCCAGCCCTTAGCTGGTGCTGGGGCTTTTTCTTCTCCTCCCTTGCGTTTCCTCTTGCTTCAGAGTCTGTGAACAAGGAAAGTGAGAGCTGTGCCTCCACCATGAGGAAGGAACCTGCTGGAGCTCGGCCAGCCCCTGCTCCTGCCCGGGGCGATGCTGCTGGAGCCGGGTGCCCAGCCCTCCTCGGCTGTCTGGGAGCTCATCTCCTCCCTGCAGCTTAAAGCAGTGGGAAAAGCAAACGGGGAAACACTAACGAGGAAATGATGGTTGAGGCCTCAGGAACGGCCACCCAGATGTCACAGGGCTCCATCCCAAAGCTCTCCCCACTGCCCCTGGGGCCGCGAACCTCACGTGTTACGTTGGTGTGGCTCCGGCTGGCGCGTAATTTAATTACTGCGTGCTTAAGAGATTAAATCCGCGATTAAAAGAATTTATATGGATTAGCCCAGGATGATTTTAAATCACTGCCAGCTCACGGCAAAGCGCACCAGAGATCCGCAGCAAAAGCGGCGGTGATGCGAAGGGCTCGGCGGTGGCTTTAGCCCCGATCTGTGTGCCAGGGAAGGGAGTGGGGTCAGTGCTGCAAATCCTGCCCGGATCGCAGCCCCTCTGCAGAGGGAGGGGACGAGGGGTCGGTGCTGTCCTTTTGCAGACCCCGCTGCAGCCACCTGCAGGTAGCATGGGGCTGCTGGTACCAAGGAGCAGGAATTTGGCCACGCATGGGGAGCCCCAAACTGCCCAGCCCGGTGAAAGCTGGGGCTGAAGGAGCCAAGGCATGGCCACAATGACAGCAGTGGTTTTACCTCCCCTGTCTGCTCTTCTCCATCCATCCATCCATCCATCCATCACTTGACCACACATTGCTGCGTACCAGCAGCCCTCTCTGGAGTCTCCAGGCATGAATTTCAGTCCATTGGTTAAGCCTGCCTGTTATTTTTCTTAAGTCACTTACTGGATGCCCCTTTATGGGGAAAAGAAAGGAGCTGGATGGGAGGAAAAGGGAAGCATGCAAACTTGGAATATTTATGAAATAAACTGGTTTAAATCAAATTCACAAGTCTTCAGCTAAAGCTGTGTTCCAGAAAGCATTATTGTTTCCCTCTCGGGGGTGAGAAGGAGAATGCGAAATTCATTTTCCTGAGCTGCGAGGGGAAGCAAAGATCAAGGGCAGCATTTCATCAAACCACCTCTTCCAAAAGGGCCATTTTCAACCCCCCAGCCCTTTCCCAGAGCAGCCACTTCACTCAACCATCCCTGGGCTTGGGGGGGACCGGTGTGGCTCCAGGGCGCGCCCAGCCAAGTGGCTCCAGCGAATATCCTGCAGCATTTTTAAAATATTCTGGCTTTCTAAAGAGCGACCACATATTTGCTGTCTTGCCTACCACCACAGAGCTGCTGCTGCTGCGCGGGGCCGGTGCCGGTGCCGCTGTTTGCAGGATTGCGGCGCGGGCCCCGTGCAATCTGTTTGATTTGAAATATTAGCGAAGAGATTAAAAACAGTGCTCATGATTTTGTAATGCATATGGTAATTAAAGTGTTACATTGCAATTATGATGTAATTAAACTGTGGGATGCTCTTCAAGATGCAATTGCCACTCATTTGCATAACTGACGGATTTGCTTATTATCACCCTTTTAATATATGTATTAAAAAGAGCATCAAGAGCGCTGGCTAAGGAGGCTTGCGGCAGCTCTACCCAGCACCCAGCCTTCCCCACGTGCCGTGCTTGTTCACCCTTTCAAGGCTGTTTTCTGGGGGTCCCAGCCTGGAAACCCCAGCCCCCAACCAGCTCTGACCTTTCCAGGCAATTAATCTGAATTCCTGCATCCTGCTCTCCCCACCAGCTGCACACATCTGTCACGGAGCAGCGCCAGGAGCCGTGCCCTACGTGCAGCAATTATCCTCAGCCGTGCCAAGACCTTTCTGGTTCAGC